CCCACTTCCTTTCTCTACTTTCTCCCACCCCTTAAATGTAGGTTCTCCTTTATAGGAAAGAGATTTACTCACGATAGGCTGTATCACGTGAGCTTTGGAGCATGCTCTGGAGTTGGCCCCTAACACTTTCCATCTCAAAGATATGCTTGGAACCATCCTAGAAAAAAGTAACAGAAATCAGAAGCAACTTGAATAATCTATATTCTACTACTGCCAGGGTAGATGGCATCCAATAACCCCTAAAACCCAAGAATTTTTACTCCAGCACCCAGGAAAGCAAGAACAAGAGAATTGACCCAGTAAGGGTCAGAAGCTCTTACGTGTACAGATGCCAGACAGGTAGTGTAACTAAATTAATTTGGCACATTAAAACAAGAGTAGTGAGGATTCTTGCCAACTAGAGAGCAAATGACATGCCTGAAAATTGTAGCCCATGGCTAACAGTTTTTCAAACTCTGGAAATTAGTTGAGACCTTTCCTATGGAACACTAATAACTATTTTCTTTGTAACATGTGTAATTTATTAAGCTATGTTTTAATGATTTACATACCTAATTTTGAACCACACAATCAAAACAGTTTTGAACTGGAACGATCTTAGCATAATTTGCTGCTATCCTTAAATCCCTAGTTACCTCTTAGGATAAAGAAACCTTAGCCCTACCTCGTGTGGCTCATTTGGTTGGATCATCATCCCATAGATCAAAAGGTCGCGGGTTTGATACCTGGTCAGGGCACATACCCAGGTTGAGGGTTCGAGTCCCCTGTCAGGCACGTACAAAAAGGCAACAAATCAATGTTTCTCTCCCTGCCCCACTTCCTCTCTAAAGAAACAAGAAAAAAAAAAAAGGCAGTGAAAAAATGCCCTCAGGTCCTCAGGTGAGGGAGGGAAGGAAGGAAGGAAGAAGGAAGGAAGGAAGGAAGGAAGGAAAGAAGGAAGGCCTTATCCTCAATCCCAGTCAAAGCACAGCAAATTGTACCACAGTGCAGGGATCCCTGACAAAGAAAACACTGGGAAATTTCACAATTTCCCAGATTATGGTGTCCCAGGCCATTCTCTCCTTCATAAACATTTGCTCCCAGAAACAAGCATGACTGATTCTGTACTTAAAAGGAATGCAACAATAGTTCAAATCTCAGTAAAATTTTTTTTACCACCCCCAATCTCAAGGCCCTGCAGGTTCCCCAGACACAACTCCCTCACCTTTTTCTTCAAGTTGTTCTCCAATCCAACTGACAAACTGCGACTCAGCTCTTGGGCCAAGCTGTCTAACCCCTCATGAGGCGGTAGGGAGGTGGAGGGTAAGTACAGCTGGGCTCGGGCTGTGGCCTCTGCTTGACGACTGAGGTGCAAAGAAGCATAGAGCTGGGAAGTCACCTCGGAGGACACTTGGTTCAGCCCAGGGGCTTCTGATGAATCACTCAGGAGATCTTCAGCCCCAAGAGGTGAACTGGGGCTGGTAGGTGATGTTGCCATGCGTACAGGGAAGAGACAACTGGACACAGCAGAGATGGGAACTCCTGTTTCTGCTTTAGGGTGTAGGGTAAACTACACAGAGAAGGATGATTTGGGAGAAAGGGGGAGACTCCAAGCCAAGGATTCTTGGTGAATGAGGGTATGGAGGCTTTCTGGTTCCAAGAAAGATTCCCACTGGTACCACAGGTCATGGGAGAGAGCAAAAGCATTTCTTTCCACAGCTCCCAGAAACTGTGGAAAAGGAGGGTACAGCAAGGGGTGAGTGGGGACGGAAGACCTACTGAGGGGCAAAAGCACCCCTGCAGTTCATCTGAGGTGCTGAAAGGTGCAGGTCACCTTCTGGCACAGGCTATCACTGACCAATTCAGTTCTTAAGTTCTCACACCCAGAACGTGCAAACTGAAAAAAACCCAAATCAAATAGGGGCCTAATTTCCTTCCAGCTGCCTTACTTGCCCCTCAACTGGCGCTCCCCACCCCTCTCCGCCCACTGCACGGTTCTACCCCGGGTCAACTCTCTTATACATCCCCTGCAACCCATCCTAGTACGAAAGCCATGCAAGGCTGTCTAGAATACCCCCCTTCCCACTACCGCAAAAGAAACTTTGTGAACACTCAGTCACACCCCCCAGAACGTCCCTAAAAAGTACGCTGCCCTCAAACCCAGCCTGAGATGATCTACCCTGATAACCCTGTTCCGACTACCCCACGCCTCCCGTCTTCAGCCCCCCAATCTGTCAGGGTGAGGTCAAAGGTAGCCCCCTGCCCGAGCCCGGATCCGGAAAGACCAAGACCTTCCTCTCCCGCGCTTCCCTACACTCAAAACCGTTGGAAGCCTTCCGCCCACCGCCCGAAGCCCCGCCTCTCTCGCCTCGATGACGTCACCAGCCCTGGGACCTTGTTCGCAGCCGCACTTACGGCTTCTGGAGCCCGGGAGCCGGGACGCGCGTGCGCGGCCCCGACAGCCGCGAATTGGCTGTGAGAGGTATAGGGACGCTGTTATTGCTCAGTTGCCTCCGGGACACCCGGTGAGGCGGGGCTCCGCGAAAACCGGAAGCATCTAAAGACGGGCACTCGGAACAGTTCCGGTGAGTTCGGGGGAGGAGACCCCGCCTGGTTGGAGGGATACGGGAAGGAAAACTGGGACCCACAGAGGGTGGGCGGTCCCGGAGCAAGGCTCCCATTCTGTGTCCTGCAGATGACTGTCCACAACCTGTACCTGTTTGACCGAAATGGAGTGTGTCTGCATTACAGCGAGTGGCACCGCAAGAAGCAAGCGGGGATCCCCAAGGAGGAGGTGACGAGAGGGCCCCGCGCAACCGGGTGACCTCATACCTCCAGACGCACATAGTCCCAGTCCAGTCACCCCTCTCCAAATCCTGTCTCGTTCCCACCCCTGGCCTGTCTCCTTAAACAACCGAGAGCTAACTCTGCCCCCCTCCCTCCAGGAGTTCAAGCTGATGTACGGGATGCTCTTCTCTATCCGTTCGTTTGTCAGCAAGATGTCCCCGCTAGACATGTACGCGGAGTCCCGAGTCAGACGGGATGTTAAGGGAAGGAGGATTAGCCTTGGAAATTTGGGGGTGGAGGAAGCTTCCTGGAGTGGAAGGGGCATTTGGCTCCCAGGAAGGGGAAGCTAATCTGGAGCCAGAATGCTGGAGCTGGAAGAAGCGGCGGTGGGAAGAATCTGAAGGTAGAAAGGTTGGATGTGAGGGCCAAATGGAGGGGTGGGGGCGGGAAATGAGAGGTGTCTTTACTCAACGAGACTCTTAGTAATGTGTTTAGAGAGACGAGTCGACCTAGAGAGAATTAGAAGTATCTTTGGGGGGAGAAATTCCACTCCCATTCCTTAACATCCTCCTCATCTCTGCAGGAAGGATGGCTTTCTGTCCTTCCAGACTAGCCGTTACAAACTCCATTACTACGAGACGCCCACTGGGATCAAGGTTGTCATGAATACTGACTTGGGCGTGGGACCCATCCGAGATGTGCTGCATCACATCTACAGTGCGGTCAGTGCCAGCCCCTGGGACCCTTCCCCCAAAGCTCCTCAACAGCAGTGGCCATGTAGAGCCCCAAGACTCCTTCCTATTCCCTGCCAGGATCCTACTGTGGAGTATCTCCATAGAAGTCAGTTTTCAACACATTCACCACCAGTTACTCCTCAAGGAGGGCTTGCCTCCCAGCCCTTGATCCTAGTGTATTCGCACATCCCTGAGGTTATACTAGGTTTGCAGTTGGAAACAAGAAGTGTCCAAAGGCTGGCTCTTAACATCCTCCCTCTCCGTAGCTGTACGTGGAGCTGGTGGTGAAGAATCCCCTGTGCCCGCTGGGACAGACTGTACAAAGTGAGCTCTTCCGCTCCCGACTGGACTCCTACGTCCGCTCGCTGCCCTTTTTCTCGGCCAGGGCTGGCTGAAGGAAGCACCCTACCTCACCCCTCCGGAGAATCTCTGTCTACCTGCCCCTCCAACCCCTCTAGCTCCCAGGCTCCCACCCACCTGGTGCCGTCCCCATCACCTCCAAACCAGGCCCCCTCTCTAGTTTTCTCCTCTACCAGACTCCGTGAGAAGTACAGAATAAACTTTTTGTCTCCCTCTGTGACTTGAGTGTGTCAGTTTAGGTGGTAGGTCGGGGCCCTGCCCCACTCATGGAGGTATGAACCAGGGTGGCCACATCCCCTGAGCCTGCACAGGGGCTTTGACCTTGGGTTTCTCAAAGGCAGCAGTACTGACATTTCCGGCTGGATAATTCAGGGCGGGGGGAGGGGGGTGGGGCGAGGCTGTCCTGTGCTTTGTCTTGGGTGCCACTCACTAGATGGTGGTAGCACATCCTTCCCTATCCCCAGTAGTGAGAGTCAAAAATGATTCCAGATCTTGTCAAATGTCCCCTGGGGGACTAAATCGTCCCCTACTGAGAACCATTGGGCTGGAACCAGAGGGTACCAAAAACCACCCTCCCGGGCTCTGCTCTCCAGCTCCTCTAAGTACACCCAGTATTCGTGCTGTAGAGCTTCGGAAGGTGGGGTTTATGCAGATACTGGCAGGTTTAACTGGGAGGCAGGCGGGTTTATGCAGATGAGGGGGCGGTGCCTGCATGATGATTAGCTGAGCCTGCTGCGGACGCGGCTGGGAGCCTAGCAGGTCCCGCTGCGGACCAAGCTGAGGTGGCATCTCTCTTCCCCCTCAACTCTCCCTAGCTCCCTACCCTCCTAGGATCGCCCTGCACCTCTACCGTCATTCATTTTTCCCTCTTCCCTGCGCCAGTGCCCCCGCAGACGAATATCTCCACTCGTGGTTCCCCCTGGGTTTCTCTCCTCCCACCGCAAACCCTGCGACCTCCAGCAGCCCGCCCCCGCGGGCCTGATCCTGCCTGCTGACTCCTTCTGCAGCCTCCTCAGCCTTCCCGCTCTCCTCAGGGCTGGAGCCACTACACCCCCGTTTGTCCGCCCTCGCCCTCGGGCTTCCCGGCTTCCTTCGCCTCCCGCCCCCTCGGAGCCCCCTCACCGGCCCTGGCCAGCCGGCATGCAGGTGTCTATCGCGTGTACTGAGCAGAACCTTCGCAGCCGGAGCAGTGAGGACCGTCTGTGTGGACCCCGGCCGGGCCCCGGGGGCGGTAATGGTGGGCCGGTCGGCGGGGTGCATGGGAATCCTCCAGGAGGAGGAGGGCCGGGCCCCAAGGCCCGGGCCGCAGTGGTCCACCGACCCCTAGCGCCCGCTGGGGCCCTCCGAGAGAGCACCGGCCGAGGCACTGGCATGAAATACAGGTATGGGGGTAGCCGGGCAGCCCGCCCCATCTGCTCCCCTTTCCTGGCCCGAGGTTTCCTGGGATGCGGCCAGGACCCCCTCAAACTTCGCTAAGAAGGTCCGGGCTCATTCTATCTCTTCTTCCCATCAGCAGCACTCCCTTACTTCGTCCCTCTCTTGGTCTCCCTCCATTCCCCTGACGAGGAGAAATTCAAGTTTACCAAGATTGATCGGTCCTGTCAGGAGACCCAGGGGATGCTCCTGAGCTTTTCTCCTTATCCCCAGGAAAGCCAGGGATGCATGAATCTCCAGACTGTGAGCCCCCACCCCCCCACTCCCAAGATAGAGTGTCCTTGGGTACGTGTCCCGGGAAGAGGGGGAGGAAGGAAAGGGCTTCTCTCTCTGGCCTGCTTAGGGTGCCTGACCCAGATATTACCCCACTTGCCCCATGGGCCCAGTCTCCTGCGACCTTTCTTGGGGGGCAGAAGTGGGGTTCTGGGAAGGATGGACCACATCTCTCAACCCCATGATTAGCAACTGGGGTCGGGGGGAAGGTGGGCTGTAATGTAACTGACTTTATCTCAGGGAACTGCTGGGCTCTCAGAACTACCAATAGGGGGAGGGGAGGTAAAAGAGGGGGTCCTGCTTCGGAGCAAGCAGAGATCACTGACATGACCTAGCTTTGCCAGCTGAGGAATTTGATCCCCTCCATGTGGCAGCCCTGCTTGGGAAGCTGAGCCAACTACCTGAGTAGGGACTTTGGAAGGAGGGGGCTCTCTGGTTCAGAGACGAACTTCACAAGCCCACAGGAGCGGAGGGAGGGGAGAGAGGAAGAGGGAGAACTGGCCTTTCCTGTCATTCCTGTCATACTCCCCACCGAGATGTCCTACCTACCTTTGTTGGGTCCATCTGCCTAGCCTATCCAGGGACCGTTGCCTGCCTGAGTGCCTGAATTTGACTTGGTTTACCCCTCCCACTCTGGTGTCTGCCCTTTGGCGTAACACTCTCTGCCTAAAGGTCTGTTTTCACAAACTCAACACAATCAGCCAGTCGCATTTCTCCAGGCCCCCAACTCCATACACGCCAGAGATGACTCAAGCACAAACCAGAAGAAACAAACCAGGCAGCACATCTCCAATGGGAGAGGAGGGAAGCGAGGCATTGGACAGTGGATCCAGAGGAAGAGCCATTTATTTGTTCCCTTATGCTATGGGCACAGCACTGCCCAAATCAGTTGCCCACTGGGTCTAGCTTCTTTGGACTGAGACACAGTGAGGGCTTCTCATTCTGGGAGGAGAGGAGCTGGGAGCTGATAACCTATGTCACTAGTGGAGGCTCCCCACCTTCCTGCTACTTCTGTCTCCTGCAGAAACCTAGGAAAGTCTGGTCTTCGGGTATCCTGTCTCGGCCTAGGTGAGTTAGAAAGAAGAGGATTTAAGGGAAGGGTGTTCTTTTATGGCTTGCCTCCCATGGTTCTCATGTGCCTGGTTTCCTTCTTGCAGGTACCTGGGTCACATTTGGTTCTCAGATCTCAGATGAGGTATAAGTGATGGGACCTCGAAGCAGGGTGAGGGGCTATGAGGGAGCCAGAGCCAAGGGAAATGGACTAGGATAGGCGTTTGGGCAACGAGCACAGAGAACGGTGGATGGGATGCAAGGCTGGAGGGGGAGGAAAGGGGAGAGAAAATGGAAGCAGGGCTGAGGTGCTATGGGCTATAGCGCAGTGAGGGAGGTAATTGAGGGGCCAGTGGTTGATCTTCAACTCTCTCTCTCACCTCCCTAGACAGCAGAGGATGTGCTGACAGTAGCCTACGAGCATGGTATAAACCTGTTTGACACCGCCGAAGTATACGCAGCTGGAAAGTAAGGAAAGTTATGTTTAGAGGGCCGAGAGAACATCAGGGCTTCGTGTTTACCCTCTTAAGAACCCTGGGAATTCTGCCAACACTACATTCTAACCTTTCAGCCAGTGGGCCCCCGAGTATTGTGGGAATCATAGTCCCAAACATCAGTCCCTCTCGAGCTTAGAAGGCAATGGGCAGACTGTGCAGTCAAAATAAAATAAAACCAACAAGTATATCTTGGGCATCAGTTATGTGCAACTGCGTGGGGATTACAAAGCTAAATTTTCAAACATACCATGCCACATCGCACACCCGTGGCTTCACACTGGGAGTAGCCAAAACCTATGTTGGCCTACCCCTACCTCTCCTCCATTTGGCAAACTTTTCTGCTCATCTTCAAGACTTGGCCCAAATGTCAGCTTCTCCAAGAAGCCTTCACACAATTCTCTGCAGTTGATCACTGTCCCCTTCAGTTCCCAAAGCACCTTATACTGCCTCTGACACTCCATTATCAATTACTGGCTCATGTGACCATATTTGCCGCTCAACGGGGATTCTTCTCCTTCCATGAAATTTGTCATGCTTTTCCTCATATCACCTAAGTGCCTACACAGAGCCAAGCACGGAGCAGGCAATGCTTGTGGAATGCCATCAATACGCCCTCAACATGCTTACAATCTAAGTGGTTAAACAAACAAACCAAGAAGTCAGGGAGATATGAAAGACTGAATAACAGTCCACTATAACAACTTAAGACTTGTTACACCTTAGCTCGTAATTAAGTGCCGAAGAATTGTGTAACCCAATGATTTTCAACCTTTTTCATCTCCCGGCAGACATAAACTAATTACTAAAATTCCATGGCACACCAAAAAATATAATTTTGCCTATCTAACAAAAAAAATAGGTATCATTTTGATTCATTCACACCAGATGGTTATTGTGTTCGCTGTTGACATTTTTTTACTTGATAGAGGGAAAAGAAGCCAGTGCCCCTGGCTAAATAGTCAGGTGTTGCATGTTTTAAAAATTCTCATGGCACACCAGTTTGCCACACCACACCAGGTAAAAATTTACTGGTGTAGTAAATAAGAGCTATGGAAACTGACAAGAAGGACTGACCATAGTCTACAGCATTCAGAAAATGTTTTCCATTCTGCTCAGAGGTAGAACCTGAGCTAAACTTTGGAGGATAGGTGGGATTTTGCAGAGACCCAAAGGGGTGGGCAACACAGACGACTGGAACAAGTGTCTCCTTGTCTATCCCACCCTCCTCTCATCCTGTTCTATCCACTCGGAACTCAGAACAGAGCTTGGTACATAGTTGAATTATTGAATGAAACTGCACAACTGTACCTCTAATTCCAGGAGCCTCTTTTAGTTAGTCCAGGATGGGGCCAACAGCTCAATGGGCTCCTGGTTTATGCTCCACTTTACAAGAGAGGACGTTGGTTGAAGGGAAAGGTGGGGAAGAGGGGAAGGAACGGATTCATCTTCAAGGGGTCAGTGATTCTATATTGTCTTTTTTCCAGGGCTGAAAGAACTCTAGGCAACATCCTCAAGAGCAAAGGTTGGAGGTAAGAGGGTGTTTTGGGGGGTTGCTGGGGATGCGATCATCAAAAAATCCTTTTCTTGCTGGTTCTCCCATTTCTCTTGTTCCAGGAGATCAAGCTATGTCATCACCACCAAGATTTTTTGGGGAGGACAGTAAGTGGCTTGCCCCACTACAACTGGGGAGAAGATCTACACAGAGGATATGTGAAGGTGTATGGGATGGGGCGGTGACAGCTGTCCCCACACGTGCTACCCCAGGCCTGCTTCCTGCTTGTGAAAACCAATACAATCCCAGTTCCTCACGGTGCCAGGCCAGCCCTGGTCTCCTACATTTGTAATCCTCCTCTTTGACTTTCCTTTTCCTACAGGGCAGAGACTGAGCGAGGCTTGAGCCGCAAACACATCATAGAGGGTGAGAGTTGGACTGTGAACCTAAAGTGGCTTGGCATGGAAGCCGGAGGAGTTGGGAACATTCCCTGAAGCTCTTGTGTTAGAGGATTTGAATAAGGGAACTAGGATTTAGGTGGCCATGGCAAAGGGGTAAGGTCTGAATTCTTTGGAAACTGAAGCTGAGGTCCTTACCTTCCTGTCCTCATCCCTACCCCAGGCTTGCGAGGATCTCTGGAACGTCTCCAGCTGGGATATGTGGACATCGTCTTTGCTAATCGCTCAGACCCCAACAGCCCCATGGAGGGTAAAAGCAGCACCCCAGCCCCGATAGTCCTTCAAAACTGAGCACTTCTCAAACCCTCAGCAGGCAGCCAGCCCTTGCTCAGAAGCTCTCCCATGCTCCACAGTGGAGGCTCAGGCCCCAGGACTTAGACAGGGAGGGAGGCAAAGAACAGATACCACCCTCTCTGGGGTCTTGGTGGGGCAGGCAGAGATCTGCAGATCTGGAGCCCTGGATACCAGAAATCTGACAGTAAGGCTCTCCCTCTCCCATATGCCTAGAGATTGTGCGAGCCATGACCTATGTCATCAACCAGGGCCTGGCCCTATACTGGGGGACATCCCGATGGGGGGCTGCAGAAATCATGGTGAGTGCGCTGTCCCACTTCCCCATCCCACAACTGGTTCCCGCTTTCCACACGGCCACTCCAAACCCCACTCTCTTGGAGGAGGAGGAGTGGAAGCAAACGGAGGGGGTGCTCTGATCCCCATCTCCTCCCCACCCCCTCATTTCTTTCTCACCACACTCAGGAGGCCTACGCCATGGCCAGACAGTTCAATCTGATTCCTCCAGTGTGTGAACAAGCAGAGCACCACCTCTTTCAGAGAGAGAAGATGGAGATGCAGCTGCCAGAGCTCTACCACAAGATTGGTCTGTAGCCCCCTCATCCCGACCTTTCCCTTGGGCTCACCATCACCTTGACCCCTTTCCTCACGTCCAGTCCTCTTCCTCTTAGGTGTCGGCTCAGTCACCTGGTCCCCGCTGGCCTGTGGCCTCATCACTAGCAAGTACGATGGGCGAGTCCCAGATCCCTGCAGGGCCACCATCAAGGTGTGATCTCCGAGCTCAGGATGCAGGACTGGGCTATCTTGGCTGTTCTAGGGTAGTGGTGGGATCTTTTGCTGATTCTCTTTGGTCTTCAGGGCTACCAGTGGCTCAAGGACAAAGTGCAGAGTGAGGATGGCAAGAAGCAACAAGCCAAAGTCATGGACCTTCTCCCCATCGCTCACCAGCTGGGCTGCACTGTGGCACAGCTTGCTATTGGTGAGACACTGTCATCCCCGGACCCTGCGGGGAACTCGTCTTCTCCTGAGACGCTCCCAAACCCAAGACTGGTTTGTCCTTAGGGAGAATCCTCTTCCTCAGAGACATTTCTGAGGTCCATATGCTCACGGTTACCCATCAGTTCTCTTGTTTTCCTCCTCTGGTCCCAGCGTGGTGTCTCCGCAGTGAGGGTGTCAGCTCCGTCTTGCTGGGGGTGTCCAGTGCAGAGCAGCTAATAGAACATCTGGGTGCCCTGCAGGTGAGCTGGGGACTCTGAGGCTGAGCCCATCTCTGTCCCCTCCCTAGGAGCCAAGGCCTCATTGTCCAACCCAGAATGGGCCCGTGAGGTCACCCACTACAAGGTCCTCATTTTGCTGATGAGAGGTCCCGGGTGACAAGGCAAAATGGGCACAGCTGTGACTATTTCCCTGCCACTTGGCCCTCAGTGCTGCTCCCCTGGGTCCCCTAAGTTCATGCCCTCAAACTCTATTCCCTTCTTCAATCACCCAAACACCCGATTCTCCTCCAGGTGCTGAGCCAGCTGACCCCGCAGACCGTTATGGAGATAGATGGACTCCTGGGGAACAAACCACATTCCAAGAAATAATCTGTCGGGGGCACAGGGACCCAAGTCCAGGACCGCTGCACCCCAACCCACCAGCCCGCCCTGAACTGCTTCCTCACACCCACCTCTTTCCTGCTCCAGATCCCTCCAGCCAGAGCCAGAGTGGCCCCGCCCACCAACGAGTTCCAGCTTCAATAGATAATCGATATGCATGAACAAAGCCATATCCTTCTGCAGAGGGGTTGAGAGGAAATGTAGTCCACTGCTCCCTGCTGCATTCTCCTAGGCCTTGTTGCTAATCCCGGGCATGAGCTACTACTGGGCCATCCCCTCTCTGCCATTTGGTCTTGCTCCCTTTCTCTTACCCCAAAAGCCGAAGCCCATTAAAAAAAAAAAAAAAAAAAGGCAGACATAAACGCAGAGTACCTCAGAAGTGGCCCCTGAAATATCAGAAGTGAGTTGTGAAGTCATGTGGGACAACGGAAAATGGGGCTCTTATGTTATCTAGTACAAAGGAAGCCAGGCTGGCCCTGGCAGGAAGTAACTGATAATCTTTGAGAAATTAGGACCCTGCCTCCCAGCCAGGAGGTGGAGGAGGGCTTAAAACTAGAATTAGTGTTAATACGTTTTTTCTGCAGAGACTATGTAGGGGTGGGAAATACAGTGACAACAGCAGTAACAAAGTTAGATGAAATTTGACGGCTAGGTTGGCCGGCGTGGCCCTTGGAAAACACAACTGGGCTGTGCTTCACAGGAAATAGTGACAGCCTTTAGGTTACAACGGAGAGAGGGGGCTGACAAATAAAGGTCTGGGGATAGATAGACTTTTGAGCTTTTAGCAGGAATTCCTACCTGGCAGTGGAGGGCTGCAGTCTTCCTTCTGGCAATAATCTTAAAGCAATAACGATGGCCTCTCTTCTGTAATACTTTCCAGGGAATTGTAAATAAAATCTCAGCTTAAACCTTCCTCACTGCGTCGACATGGCAGGGGATGGGAAGTTAGGGTCTCCGTCTCAGATAGCTGGCCCCCTAAACCCCTGACATTAGAAAGCTCCAGTACTAGCTTTCTGTCCATTGCTCACGTGCTTCAGTGACCCAAGCATTGTGCTCCCAGGCATTGCTCTCTTCAGGACCCAGGCACCAGATTACTCAGGCCCCAGTTTTCTTCCTTCCTTCAGTTGCCACTTTCCTTAGAACCTAGAGAGATCTGGCTTCATAATCTTTTTCGTCCCTCTAACACCATTGCCCTTGTTTTGTTTCGAAAGTTCTATCAGCCACACTTCTGGTCTTATACTTCTTACCTTCCCTCTTGTGCGAAACCCACACATATGCCAAGGAACTATCTTGGTGGTTTTCTTGTGGCCGAATGGGAGGGACTGTTCTGAGGTTGAGGCTTTGGGATTTGGTGAAGAAGAGGTAAAATGAAACCCAGTCCACGGTTGAGATGATAACAGAGAAAGGGAAAGGAGTTATCATTATAAAGGAAACAAGAAAGAAGTGAAAGATTAGGTGTGAGGGTGGCAGAAAAGCAGAATCAAGTGGGATTATTTGAGATACTGCCCCTTAGTCTTCCCCAAAGGACTCTGATTTCCCTGAGACAGAAAGTGGGTGGAAAGTCACACTCTTTAAAGATCACAAGGCAAGGAAGGATGAGATCTGCCTTCCTTAAAATACAACCACACCATCTCCCTGCTACCCATCCTCACCCTTGGTCCTAAAGCGGAGAGAGCAGAGTAAAATCAATTTCCACAAGAGAAACAGCGGCATGCCATTTTCTGGATCAGTAACGAACTGGATCAACTGATGAATACTCACATCCCACTCCTATCATCTTCCACTCGTTTTGGAAGACTGTGGAGGAAAGAAAGAAGTAAAATGTATGACTGAACTATGATTAGTTATTCTGTAACAAACATACATGAATTTATAAATTAAAATAGTCCTCTCCTAAATAATTACCTTGGAGAGTTATGCACTTACTTTAATAATGCCTCCCTCATTTCTCAAAACATTAAAAACAACACACAAAAAAACCCCCACCCCTCCTTATAAGTACCTTCAGAGGCAGTTTAGAAACCCCTTGCAAGAAACCTTCCTTCATTGTCACACTTCATTTACCATATTTATCACTCTACCTCATTCATTAATGTAACAAGTATTTGTTTATTGAGTCCTACTGTGGGATACAATGGTGAACAAAATCAGATGCAAAACACCCTTTGTAGAACTTACGGATGGGCAAAACAAACAACCCCCAAACAGAAACTTTAGTTGTCCAAAGTTCAGAAGAAATGCCGCCCTGGCAGCTGACAGATGAGTAGGTGTTACTAAGGTGAAAGCAAGAGGGTTAGGGGGATAGCATACAAGAAAGCCTTGTGGCAGAAAACACACACACGCAAGCCGATGCTCTCCAAAGCCAGGTGTCTAAAGAGGGAAGGGAAGCAGAACACGAAACACGGGTCGGTTTAGATCATAGCCTTATAGGGCACTTTAGAATATTATCTTTATCTTAAGAACAGCAGGAAACCCTTTAGGTCAGTTATCCATTGATACACAATAAATCACCTCCAAAATTTAGTGGCTTGAAAGCACTGCTAAACACTTAATTTTTATTTATTTATTTATTTATTTATTTATTATGATTCTGTGGGCTGGCTGGGGGTGGGCAGGTTCCTCTGTTATTTTCACCTAGGCTCACTCATGTGGCTGAAGTCAACTGGCAAGTTGAATGAGCAGGAAAATCAAAATGGCCTCACTAGTACGTCTCATTGTTAACGCTGGCTACTAGCTGGGGCTCCTCAGTTCTCCATGTAGCCTCATCCACCACTGGTTTGAATTTCCTTACATGGTGGTCTCGGGAAATATTGCAAAGGGACAAAGACAGAAACTGCAAGGTCTCTGAAGGGCTGTGCTCCAGGATTCATCACTTCTGGCACATTCTATCAGTCAAGCAAGTCAGAAGGGATAGGGAAATGACCTCAATTCCTTCTTCTCAATGGGAGAAACACATTAGAAGGTTTAAAACAGGAGTGCAAAGGGTGTGTGGTAGGACATGATTGAGTTTGAGATTTGGGAAGATCACTCTAAGCAGTGTGGAGAAAAGCTTGCAGAAGGCCATAATGGCTGTGGACAGACTTGCTAAGATCCCTACCAGAATCTAAGGAAGAGATGATGGCAGCTTGGGCCAGGGTGGTGCACTGGAGGTGGAGAAAAGTAGGCGGGTTAGAGGGATAGTTAGGAGGCAAAATGAACTGGGCTTGGTGGCAAGTCAGTAAAGGAAGCTGAAAATGACGGAGGGGTCAAGGATGATACATGAATTTCTGGAGTTAAAGGAAGAAGTAGAAAACACTGAAAGAGATGCTGATTTGGACAAAGAGATCATCATTTTGGGTTCCTGGAGATAAATGAGAAAGGAAGTGACTGAATATCCAGGTCTGAATCTTAGAGAGGCTTTAACTGTCCAACACTTTGGGAACATTTATATAATCAAACCTACCTTAAAAGTTTAAGATTTAATCACCAACTGGAGATATTAAAAGATGTGAGATCTCTGAACACTATTCCAAAGAGAAGTTCCAAAACAGTTTTAATTATGAGTGTCATTGGAATGAGTAGCTAGTTTCCCTCAAGCTACCATGAAGACAATACAACTCAGATGTTCTGAAATGTTTGCTTAAAAATAATGGTATACCTCCTCACAAAAGATTACCATGTTAGGTTTTAACAATCTAGTTAAAAAGCAAAATCAACTCTACATTGCCATGGGTATAGAGAAGTCCATCTTGTATTGACCAAGAGAGGCGAGTGTTGAAAATGTTGAACAGTGAGAAGTTAAAGCAAACACAATATAGGCTGGGGGCACAGGATAATAATTACAGCTAATATGTGGTGTTTACTCTGTGCCAGGCACCATTCTGAGCACTTTACATATATAGGTTCATTCAATCCTATTATTATCCACATTTTATAGATGAGGGAACCAAGGCCCAGAGAAGTTAGGTAACTTGCTCGAAGTGTCACAACTATTAAGTAGTGGTGGCTGGGATATGAATGAACTCAAGCCAGCTGGTTCTAGATATTACCCTCCACACCAAAACCTGGATTGCAGGTCCAGGAGAGGAGGGTCAGAAGGAGGCAGCTGGTGATGGGTGTGGCACCATGAGGGAATGTGGGCTGTGAGTGCTATGTCCTGTTTACCTGTCAGGGAGGTTAGATCCCTGAGTCACAACTCATGCTGGGCTGCTTTGGTGGAACCACCATGGTATGTGGGTGTCCAGGCCTGGCTACTCAGGAAGGAATGGATTCCCAGCATTCCTAAGGCCATGGTCCTAAAATCTAAGTCCCTCCTTATGCTGAAATGTCAGCTGGGAACTGGGCAGTTTGAGAAAAAACATATTTGGGAAACTGGTCTTGCAAAAACACAGGAGAGTCATGTATACTAAGGCTAGAATGAGAGCTACTACCGATCAGCATCCATTCAAACATCCAGAAGCCCATTAAAAGACTGGGCAGAATGCGCTGTCGTTGGCTGAGGAAGTGTTTGGGTAGGGTTGTGAAAGTGTGACCAACTGAACGAACAGGCCCAAGGGGCTGTAGATACCCCGTGCCAGTGGCTGGGGTGGGGCGCAGGAAGGGACGGGGATGGGGATGGGGGTGGGGGCTTGCACATAGTTTTAGAGAACACGGGCTTTGTGTTGGAGGATGAAGGTATGGAGGAAGCAGAAAGTTGTAAACCTCTTAAGGCCCCAGTCCCAGCACCGCTTGGGCCTCCTACCCCACTCCCCGACCAGCTCCAGCAACATTGACATTCCCATCCTCTGGCCTCCACCGCCCCCACGCGTGCCAACGCAGGGAGCGGCCGGACCACTGCGTGACGCCTCAAGGGGCGGGGTCTCATTATTTTATTAAAAGGGACAAGTGGCCGCGGCGCGGGCCCCAAGACCTGAGCTGGGTCACAGAGAGGGCCAAGCTAGTTTTGCCCACAACGTCGGCCGCGTTAGCGACACCCTCGAGTCCGCGGCGGGCACCATGCAGCTCCTGGTGAAGGTGCCATCTCTTCCGGAGCTGGGAGAGCTGGACTGCAATATCTGCTACCGGCCCTTCAACCTCCGGGGCCGCGCGCCCCGCCGCCTGCCCGGAACCGCGCGCGCCCGCTGCGGCCACACGCTCTGCACAGCCTGCCTGCACGAGCTGGCTGCGCGCGGCGACCGCAGCGGAGCGGCCGCGCGCGTGGTGCGCTTGCGCCGCATCATCACGTGCCCTTTTTGCCGCGCGCCCACCCCGCTCCCTCGCGGCGGGGTCACGGAGGTCGCTGTCGACCCGGACTTGTGGTCGCGTTTGGAAGGAAAAGCGCGTGCAGAACGTGAACCTGATGAGGCAGGTAGCCCGGTAAGGGAAGGTGGCGCCCCCGACAGAAAGGCCGACGATGAGGAAGAGGAGAGCGAGAAGGGGTATAGGTCGAGGAGCGCAGGCTGGCGCACTGTCCGACGGCTCTGGGACAGGTTGCTGGCGCCCGCGCGCCGCTGGCGGCGCCCGCTGCCTAGCAACGGTGAGTGGCCAACCCCGGAGGCTGCAGGGGAGATTGCCCAGGAACGCCAAGGTTAGGCTGCATCCTCCTGCTACCACTAACCCTTCTTATTTCCCCCAGTGCTGTACTGTCCGGAGATCAAGGACTTTGCCCACATGACCCGCTGCACGCTGTAACTCCGGGACCCGGCAGCTAAGGCAGAAGGAAGGTGGGAGCTGCACTCTCAGGGCGTACAAGGGGCTAATGCCAAGGCTAACCCCTCCCCCACCCAGGACTGGGACTGATGAGGAAGTGGAGCAGAGGGCGGGAGGGAACGCCCTGGCAGGTGTTGATGCTGAGCTGGGGAGGCTCCTAGACGAATCGCCCCCATCTGCTGACTGTGCCAGGATGGAGTGGCCCAGGGATCATAAAAACAGTCTGCGTTCCCGTGGGAAGAATACAGATTGTTTCCTTAGCTGTGACTTGGCTTTTGTCCAGGGCAGCTCTGATGTGTGGGAGCAACAAGTCCCATTTTAGCAATTCTGTGGCAACGGTTTGAAAATTTCCAAAAGATGGAGCAGGAGAACAGAGGCTGATTTTCAGGTCATGTTAACCTCGCTTCTCTGCCACGTAAGGGAACGGAGAAAAAGAAGCCCTTTGGTTCCCCTTCTCTCCCTCCATCTCAGTGCAGTTGTGCCTACTGTCTCCCCACTCCCAGTACTGTGTTCCTAAAATTATCAAGATGCCACCTGCCTTGCTTCATTCCAGAATCTCCCTTCAACCTGTTATGGCAGGTATCAGAAAGTCGGAAGAACATTAATCTAAGGCACCTAATTAGGGCCTATTAAGGATAGAAGGGAGAAATGTTTGGTAAAGGCATCAGATTTTTAGTTTTTGATATTATCTGCATTTTTATAGTCAAAGGGAAATACTGTCGCTACTGAAAAAAAGATGCCCCCTTAATTTTGTATCCCACAGTTGGACTTCTATTGAATGCCATGGATTGTATTTTTTAAATCCCGTCAATATCTTATGGTACATAGTGTGAGCTTGTTGAAAGTGCAAAATCTCAGGATTCTACTTCAGACTGAGTCAGAACCTGCATTTTAACAAGAATCCTAGGTGATGTGTGCACATTGAAATTTAAGCGTCGGTCCACATCCTAGACTCTCTAGGATATTACCATCTATGGGTTGAATATTTAGAACGTCAATGGTATTTAGTAAGTTATATACTATTTTACTGAAGGTTCTAAAATGATATTCTGTTGAAGAAATCTAGATTCCTCATGCACATAGTTGCATTTTCCTCTGAGTTAAAAATGTGAACTTAAGTATAAACCTCAATTTTTTTTAACTGTATTTTGGCTTTTTCCCTATCCTTAACTCTCAGCCTAAATGTCCCCTCTTTTGGGAGGCCTTTCTCAGCATTCAACTTGGTGTTGCCCCTTCCCTAACCCCCTATAGCATAATGCCTTATGTTCACTGCTTTTATTTTCAGAAAGTATGTATTTTGTTGGTGCTCCCTGCCCCCCCACCCCGTTAGAGTGTAAGCTTCTTGAGTGCAATGATTGACTTGTGACTGTTGTATCTCCAGGCTAGTGTTAATGTATAGTGTGTACTCTAATAAACTTGTTGGATTTATCTTAAATTCTTTAACACTCAAAAAACTGATTTCTCTCAGCCTTTGAGCAGCCCTGGTAGTGAACATTATATGTCAAGGAAGTGCCTTAACAGTTCAAGTATTTAGCAAGCTATGGAGGTCTGACCCCACCCCACCCCCACAGCGCCTCTAAAAAAAAATGCACTTCAGCACACTTGGAACTAAACCTGTGGAGCTTTGGTGACCTCTACTGACTCTTGTGGGAACTAAGCAACTTGAAGGTGGAAGGATGATCAGGATGATCAAAAGGATGAATGGAAGGCAGTTCTGAATCTCCAGGCGCCCCTCCCACACTTCTGTCCGATAAACCCTGCTGTCTCCCTGATCTCAACCTGAGGCCTGTGTTTAGGTGTCCAGCTGTTCACCCTCCATCTCGAAACTGAGCTCATCACATTAGGGTTGGGGTTGGAAAAAGAGCCTCGGAGTTTTAGTTGATGATCCAAGAAATAAAAATGAGAAAAAGGTAGTCACAAGATTTTTTTAAGAGAGAAAAAGATGGATATGAAATGATAGAAAGCAACACCATTTCCTTCTCCCTCCTCCCAAAGAACTCCCCCACTCAAAAATAACAGAGCACACAGAAAGGAAAGTATAATTTATATGTACAACCAATAAACCTGATACAGAAGAGGGGATTGGGACAGACCAGGAGTGTGAAGAGACCGGGAAAGGGGCAGCAAGAAAGTGAAGGGGCAGCATAGAGGAAGTGGGGGGTTCGCCATGCAAACTGCCACTCTCCTCAGCCCCTCCTGGGGAGGAGGGTGTGCCCATGTCTCCCTAGCCTGCCCTTCGTTCTTTTGCTCTGGTCCTGAAAGCAAAGTAGTCCCCTGACTAGGCCCCCTGCCTAACCCACTCAAATTTAGTCCATATTCAGGCCTTCAGGAGGGAGGGAAGTCCTCAAAAAACTTGAGCCCCAGAGTTGGGGGTTCCCCCAACACCTGGCCCAATGTGTTCTCTCCTACCCTTTCTAGGTTACCTGGGTCCCTAGGACAGATTGGGGAGCTCCTCTTTGGCTTGAGGGAGTATCGCCCAACCATTACTCTTTGTAGGGGTGCTTCTTTGCCCCTGTAGAGGGGGTAAGATGCCCAACACAAGATGCCAGTACGCAGGAGGTAACTGAGCCAGTGAATGGCGCCTTTATTCTGAGGCTGAACAGCAATTGACTCCCTTGTAACTGCTCCACACTATTTGAGGAGAGGTAGGGGAAGGAAACATGCAGCCACCCCTCCTCTTCCCTTCCTCCCTCCCAGGGCTCATTGTCACCCCTATCTAAAGTCCCCCTCCTCTCTTCAAAGCTCCTTTCCCCCACCAAAGTTTCTAAAGGCCCAATGCTAATCCCCCACTTCTGCACAAGATGGAGCTTATATGCAGGAATAAGGATTGGGGAGGATCCACCTCTTTCCTCCCCACAACCATTTATTAAGAAGCTGTGTATGTTTGGCAGTGGAGGATAAAGGTACTTGGAAGACCCTGCTAACCCAGACCTCTTCTCACCAGCAGTCTTCAAAGCATGGTGGGAAAGGTGCGCGGGAGTGGAGAAAGACAAAGGGCCCTTCTTGAAGAGAGGAGTCACAGAGAGGGGCAAGGGGGCTCCTAGCCCAGTGGTGGCCCAAGGGGTGGGGAAGGTGGAAGATTGGCAGCAGGCCCCAGAGCCTGAGCTGGGGGTCGACCTCGGGCACGGGGCCTGGGTGAAGGGCAGGCCTGGGATCCAGTCAGTCGTCTATACAGATCACTTCCCCGGCTCGGGGCTCCTTCCGATCCAGCCCGTCTGACACCAATGCCCCCACCATTTCCTTCTCCTTCTTCACCAGCACTGGAGGGCCGTTGGTGGCGGCTGTTTGGGCAAGGGATAAGGAAGCGTCAATCCCTATTTCACTCCCAAACATCACTTTCTGGTAATAGTATAGTCTCATTTCTACGTCTCCTCATGCCACTTGCAATTGTCCAGGGTAGCGGCAGGAAGACCAGGGCAACCCCTCTCCCTGAGATTCCCCCTTGCGCTGCATGACAGAACACATGGTCCAACTCTCATTATACCCCCCTTTCATTCATATTCTCTTTCACTGAAGTAACGCAGATGGAGGCATTTCAGGTAAGAGCTACAGAGCTGTAGAACCACTGAAACCCTGGATGATGTTTTTAATAAAGGGAATGGAAGAGAAGCTAAGAAAGGATGGGAAGAAGAAAGCTCAGAACAACTCCATTCCTTAAAACACTAAGTACTTCCAAGGCAGTGAGATGGGCTGGAGCAGTAAAAGCGTGGCTGAGCAGGGGTCAGCTTGGAAAAGGAGGAATGAGAGGAAGTCAGCTGACCTGTGATGAAGGACCCTGCAGGCATCTGACTGTAATTGGCGCCTGCGGCGGCCAGGGCCCCTACGGGAGCGGTGCTGAAGGCTGCCCCGTACCCCGGAGGTGTAGCATAGGGACCCGGGGGAAAGACCTGGAATAGAGAGCAAGACCACGTTAGAAGGTCCACAGTCTGAAAGGAAAGAAGCTGTAGGGAAAACATTATGGGCCCAACTCCAGAACTACTGAGGGGTATAGCATACGGGCATGGAGACTCAAGGGGGATGAGTATGCTAGGGTATATCATTTTTCCGTATCATATAGTATTCAATGTAAATGTATGTATGTGTGCAGGAGTATCAACAAGGAGAATGCAGTTAGAGGGAAAGGGGGTTACCGGTGTGGGGTGAGGCTCCGTGCCCTTGCTGGCCAGCCGGCTGAGGATGCTGCGCTCTGACATCTGAAGGCGGGCTGCGATGGGGGGTATTCGAGACAGCGTGGCTGGCAGGCGGGTCACGTCTGCCTTCATGTCGCTCAGCAACTCCTCCAGCTGGTTCAGAACTGGGGCCCGGGCCACGGAGAAAGAAGGGCAAGAGAAAGACAGGGAAAGGAAGAGATGGAGCCAGGAAAAGAGATGAGGAGTCAGATGGACAGATAAAGTCAGAAAAAGAGAGCAAGAGGACACAGATGTCAAAGAACCAGAGAAGAAAATGATAGAAGTTGGTAGAAAAAGAGAGCAACTTGGCAAGGGGGAAGCATCAGGTAAAGAGGCAGAGAGACCAGATCACCACACAGATAGATGGAGAGAGAAGAGAGGAGGAAAGGGATTATGGAGAAAAGGGAGATAGGGGAGAACATTGGAAGACATGGGGGCGGGGAGTTGTCAGAACATCCCATACTGGAATAACGAGGTTTTGGGGTTGGGGATGATGGGGAGGAAATCATCAGGAGGCATGGGGAGGTGGTAAGTGGTGTCAAAGATTTAGGGATCAAGGTTTTAATACGTAATGGGGGAGGAAGGTTACAGGGTCAGCATTACAGATTCAAGGAATTAGAACAGGAATGAAAGGGTCCAGGAGTCAGTCACTACATCAGACAGGATTAGATGATTAAAGGGCTTTGGAATTTAGTATTTTATTTTCAAGGTAAGAGGATTTGGGAGGAAGGGTTGAAGGTCAAAGGGAAGTTTCATGGGGTAGGGTCAGAGTGGGATGGTGGTAGTCTGTGCCTTGTGAGGTGAATGAGACATGAGGCATGTGATTTGTGGGATTGGAGATAAGGATTTTTGTGGGTTCTACACAGGCCAAGACCCCGGAGAGGGTTCTATTAGCAGTATGGCAGGCACGTGGGTCAGCAAAGAAGTTCTGCCCTTTGGAGGCGATGTGCAGTCCCACGGGGTTCTGGGGACAAAGTCCCTGTCTTAAGCACTGATGTGAATGCTACTGGGCACGGATGAGGGTTGGTTGCACAAACCCTAGAGGCTAAAAACCAAGGGGATATCAGGTGGGTCAGGGGTGGGGTTAGAGGTCAGAGGGGGGTGGTTCAGAGGGTAAAGGGGTCAGAGGGGTGGGAAGATTTTGAGGGATGCGGGGTGAAGACTTACGCAGCGTTGTGGGCCCTCCCCCGCGCGGGGCCGCCGCGGCCCTTACCCTTGTGCAGTACGGCGTTGGCCGGCTTGTTCCCCGCCAGCGACTCCTTGGAGAGGTGCTGGTGGCTCTCAGCCAGGCATTCCGCCTCGGCGAAGCGGGCGTGGAGGGCCATGGCGGGGTGCGCCGGCTCCTGCGATAGATTCAGGTAGGCCGCCCGCCGAAGCTGCTCTTCAATCACCAGCGCCTGCTCCAGGAGCTGAGGACATGGAGAGATGGGGTTAGTGCAGGGATCTGCCAGCAGTGAGTGGGTGGACGGCGAGCCAGACACAGCCTTGGAGACCACACTGCCCTCACTGCTGGCCCAGGGCACCCCCGGCTCCACTCCCATACCAACCCTAGCATCAACCCAGATCCAGACCACAGTTCCAAACACGAGGTTACACTCTGGTCTTGGCCTCAAGCATCACCACCATCCTCCAAGTGTTAAACCTTCCCTACAGTCCAACCAGATCTGGGCCTATCTTTGGCCCAACTCCTCTTCCAGATTGTTCTTTTTCTCCCTCATTCCCACCTTGAATCTCCGGGCCAGAAACTTATTTTTCATCTCCAGAAAGTTTCCTTTATTGGCTTCAGTTTTAAATGGCTCATTGATAATGGCAAACTGAGCATCATTCTGGATGTCCTGCCACCGTGCATAGCCATGGCTGCCGATGAAAGAAGGGGACCATTAAGGAATTTAACAAGTATGGGCTGGACTGTGGACACTTCTTCCTTTTGGCCTGATCTCCCCCAAGTGCAGCACTATGCCACCTTCCCTGGGTGTGGACTCCTCTTCTCCGTAATTCCCCTCTCTCGAGATTGAGAGAACCTTTTATCCCCCTGTCTTTCTTGTATTTCTATCAAAGGATACAGGACAATCCCAGCCAGAAGCCAATAGTCATGTCTTCGGTGCCAGATTTCATTGAGTTTTCCTGAAGAAATGGCTGCCCGTTCCTCATTCTGCCACAGCGTGTGAAGCTCTGAAAAGAGGATGAAAGGTAGATGAGGCATCAGAAGTTTTCAAACCCCATCCAGCCCCATAAACAGGTAGTGATAAGGGAACTGAATAGTGGTAGAGACCACCAGGGGCTCTTTATGAGGAACAGGTAAAGGATAGGGTAGAGCTAGAAGTAAAAGTAGTTCCAAACAAGGTTAAAGTTAAAATTAAGAATAAAGGTATGGTAAAGACAACTTTGGAGTCAGGGGTATACTTAAGGAGGACTAAAGGCAAGGAAGAGAAATAGCACGCACCATTTCATTGGCAGTTACTTGGAATTAAAGATAGCAGAAGGCCTCAGGCAAAATGAGAAACCCTATGAGGATGAGCAAGTCCCACTGAAAAGTATGTGGCAGTAAGAGACGCCCCTACCTGTAAAGCCGCCATCTGCAATATTGAACATGAACCGCGGCTTCTCTGCTTTCTCTTCACGTCGCCCGTTTGATCGTGGCTCATCTCGAGGCGGCCCAGGTCGAAGCTCCCGGCCCCCTTTAACATCTTCTGCTAGGGCAGATGGAGCCAAGCTCACACCTCAGGAGTCTCCTTCCAGGTCCCAAGACTACATCCACCCTGTGTTGTTTTGGGACTTGGAACAGCTATCCACCCAGGACCCAGGCATTTGGTCACCCAGATTCCACCTCCCGATTCCCTCAGGGACCCAGGCCCAGGCCTTCCACCCATTACCTCTCTTGCCCAAATCTCCCGTTTCCCCCTCCGGCCTCTCCCTGTGTTCCTGTCCATCCAACGGCTTCTCCTCCCCCCTCTCTCCTAGCGTCGACTCTGTGGCTGTGGGAGGGGGTAAGGGACAGGAAGGGAGGATGTCACCCTCATTCCCTGACCCCAGAAGAGGGAACCCCCAAATTCTAAGCCCAGCACCCCTAAGTCCATGCACTCACCTGATTTCTCTCTGTCCCCCTGGTACCCAGGTTCAGGCTCTATCTCTCCATGTACCCCTGGCTCCTCATCCTCTAGAGGAATCTTCCTCGACTCCAGCCGCTCCCCGAGTGATAGGGCTGGGCTGGGGGCATCAGTCTGAAAGACAACAGTGGGTCAAGATGAACTGGAGGGCTGCCAGACACCGGGCCTCCAGGATCCCCCCACTCTTTCTCCTCAGGGGAGCCAGGTAGCCACACACTTCTGTGTCCATCTTCTCCCCAATTCTGCTATTCTTCTCTGGCTTTTCCTCCTGGTTTTCAGCTTCCTCCTTCTCAAGTGGTGTCCTTACGCCATCTCCTTTCTCACTTGGAGCTGGAGTAGCTACAGGGGGAAGGCAGAGTAAAGAAGGCAGAAACTCCCCGACCTTGACTCCAACCCCTCTGCGTCTGGCCTCATTGGATACTGGCCTCATCTCCTCTCCTGCCCTTCTGACCCAATTACCAGGTTTAGAGGTGCAAGGACTATTTGTAGCAGAAGCCTCTGGGGTGGTGGGAGACGTTTTGGTAGGCGAGGAGGCTCTGGAGGAGCGCTTAGAGTCAGCACTAGGGTCAGGCATCAGCTCAGGCATTGACCAGCGCCCGTTGATGTGCTCAAACTCCTGTACCTGAGGGGAGAGGGGGAGTCATAGACACACGGGTCTGCTTCAGGCAACGGGCACATAGGAAGCCCCAGTCTGCTCTACCTCATCTTGAACCAGCCTGAGTCTGGAACTCAGGGACGAAAGGCAGAGGAAGGACAGGGCCCAGGCAGCCAGCTTGGTTCTTTTGCTGAACAGAAGACTGATACCTTTTTCTTGACGAGAGACATGACGCCAATGCGGGTCAACACTTGCTGGCGACTCAAGCCCTCCCGAGGGACCCCATCAGCAAATGTTTCAGAGCCGTCTGCCCCAGGCTCACAGAGATGGCGCATGAACAAAGACACATAGGCCCTAAGGAGCATGGGGTGGAGGGTGGGTTAGAAAAGCCTGAAGGGACACAGGAATTACAGAACCCCTCAACATAAACTCCCCACGTGCTTCCAGAGGTCCTCCCCTGAGCCTTTCTAAATCCTAAACCCCCATCTGCCCCTCCCTTTGTCCTTCCACTGTCTCCTTGGCTTTGGTACTTCGTTCCTAGGCCCCATCAGTCAGCTCTTCATCCTTTCCACCAGCTCCCTGCCTGGTTATCGTGGCCAAGTAAATGTGAGGCAAGGACAGTCCAGGTGAGGCTCCTCTCTTAACCGCCTCTCCCATGGGGAAGGAAGCCCAGCCTCTCTACTCTAAGCTCGTCTGAGGGAAGGTGGGTCAGGCTAAGCCCACCCTCCAGGAAATCGAGCCAGGAACTATTGTACAGCAGGGAGCGTGATGATCAGTTGAGTAAGATCACATCATATGGTGGCCAAGAGGAAGAAAGTAACACCCAAAGCTCTTACCCTTTCATCCAACTCTGTCCCGTATTACCCACACTCACTTGAACTCCTTCTCAGTCTTGCCCCTTAGGTCTCGCACCAGCCACTGAGTGGTGAAGGCATCTTGCGGTGGCATCCCCCAGCGCATCACAGCGTTGAGGAAAGCCTTGCGCTGACGGGTGTTGAATCCCAACACCTGAGAATGGGGGAAGAGGAGGAAGTGGGTGATGATGTCCAGGCATCTCCTTTCTCCCCACAGGGACTCAATTTCCAACCCTCGGCCTTTACTCTCTCCTTAGGGGAGAACATCTGGGGGCCCAGACCCAGCTCTCACCTCTATGTTGCCCCCAACTCGAGCCAGCAGTGGAGGCAGTGGTTTATCCTTTTCATTTCGGAGCTGCCTCTTTGACTGTCGACGCCCTGGGCAGGGGTGATGCCAGTTACTAGATCCACTACTTCTTCCACCCCTCGGTCCTTCCCAACAGCCCATTCCCACAAGATAAAAAACTCAGGTCCAAGTCCTGTGCCATGTCTGAGGCACTTCTAATTTTCTCCCAAGCACTTTCAAAACTACTAACTCAGTAGGTCTAAAACAATCAAGTGATATCGAAAAAATCAGTATTAAATACTTGATGCAAGCAAGATTACTGATGGGAATGTAAAATGATGTAACTTTTCTTGACCTTTCATTTAGGAATCTAAGCCTGTGTGGTTATATGCACCAAATTTTAACAGTGATAATATTAGGGATGTTTCTTCCCTTCTGCTTACTTCATAATTTTTATTTTTTTCTACCAAAAAAAAAAAAAAAAGCATTCATTTACGTAAAACAGTGGGCTTAATGGACAATAGGAAGTGAAATGGGAAGAGATGTGGTAGATGTCAGAAAAATAGATGCTACCTTCAGGACGCTCATCAAAGTCTTCATCCTCCTCCTCTGATCCCACTGAGTATTCTGACTGGTTATCTGCCAGGGGAAAGGGCACAATGGTCAGTGATGGTTCTCTGGACAAGCTCTTTCTGCCTGGATGCCTCCTGGGGGTCCTGGATGACTGCCCCAAGTCAAACTTTGGGACCATATATCATGAACCATGTCTATTCACCACCCACCTTGTCCCTGGGCACCTTCTGAATCCTCTGTGACCCACGAAAACTCCTGGGTGTCCACATGAGCCCTCCACAACCACCAAGTAGCTTAGATCACCTGCAAATCCTCCTGGCCTGCGGGTAGCTCCTACTGAACCTTCCTAATCTCTTTCTCCTTTAGTAAGGAAAGCCCTGACCTCTAGGCCTCTTTCCAAATGCATGCCCCCAGCCTCTAGGCCCATCCTCACCATTCTTTGCTTCAGTTTCTGCATTGGGGGGCGGGGGTGGCAGTCAGTCCTCACCTTGGTCTTCCTGAGCAGCATCATTGTAGTTAACTTGCTTGCGAACCCGCTTGCCCTTGCCAAGATTCCGGGCTAGGTCTTCCTGTTGTTGTTCATAGTGATGCCTCAGTAGCTTTTCCCAGTAGTCAGGATCCACATTCTCCTCCTGCTTGATGATCTCTCGTTCAATCTCCTCAATCTGAATAGCAGCAGAGTGAATGGTAGTGAGCTCCCTCTTAACCTAGTCCTTTCCTCCTGCCTCTTAGATCTCAACTGTGTGTGAATTTTCTGGATATTGCACTTTTCCTTTTCCTTATTTCTTCTCTTTAATATGCTTCTCCTCGTTACTTCCCTTTTCTAAACCTGTCCTCTATATACCCTCTGCATCCCTCCTACTCTGTCTCCAAAGCTACCCTTCCATGTGTATCAGTGCTTTCTGTGCCTAAGTCTTTCTCCAAAGTCCAATGTCACCCATTAGACCAAGAAATTGTTTGCGGTCCACTAACACTCTTTGCTGGGCACTATGGTAAAAGATTGGATTAAAAAAAAAAGAGGAAGGGGGATCCTCCTACTTCAAGGGCCAGCAAAGGAAATTGCCCTTCAGAGTCGGCCCAGGGTAGACAGTGCCTAGACCCAGCGTCTCACCTTGTCCTCCTCCCGCACCACATACTGGGCCACCTTGAAGGAACTGAGATATTCGTTCATGTTCTGCACATCTGTGTCCTCAGTTGCATCCTGGTTCCGGTCCAACAGACGAGCAATGGCCTCATTGTCATAGTGAATCACACTGCTATCCTCCTCCTTGTTCTCCCCTGGTGGAGATGGGGAACAAGAGGGAACTCTTGAGTTCGAACCAGAACTTCAGGCAGAACTTTTAAAAGACCGAAGGAAAGCATTCTACTTTGCTTCCCTTCCACAGGCGCTCTGGAGAAGGCCCTTTCCCTGGAAGTCAATGTAGCAATTTGTTGTTTTCAACCCTACATGTTAGGAAAGAGGCCAACCTTCCTCCACAGACTGAACAGAGGAGTTTGTCTTCAAGGGTTTCAGAAGAGAAGTGCTCACAGGAAAGCAGGTGCCAGTTTCCAGGGAGTTGCAAAAGAGGTTCTCACCCTCATTTTCGTCCTTAAATAGCTCCTCAGTGCCAAATTTGAGGATGTCATCCAGCTCCTGCTTGGACATGGAGCCCGCCTTGGAGCCCAGCCCGGGCCGCACCACCAGATGTGTGAGCATCATCTTTCTCTTGGCCACTTGTGTGATTCGCTCTTCCACTGATGCACGAGTCACAAACCGGTAAATCATTACTTTGTTGGCCTGGCCAATCCGATGAGCCCGGCTAAAGGCCTACAGAGAGTGGGCGGAAGAAAGTGAGGATGGGCCAGGGGAGTCACAGGGAAGAATGCTCAGGAAAGAAGGCTAGCAGGAAAGGGTCTTCAACCACCAGCCCCCTCCCCTGCCAAGAGATTTATTTCTGACCCCAGAACACAACACCCTCCTCTGTGATCTCGTCTCCTTGCCAAATGGTGCAGGAGCTGCAGAAGGCGAGTTCCTACCTGGATGTCATTATGTGGGTTCCAGTCAGAATCGAAGATGATGACAGTGTCTGCAGTGGCCAGATTGATGCCCAAGCCCCCAGCTCGGGTGGACAAGAGAAAGCAGAATTGTTGGGCCCCAGGAGCTAGGAGGTGTGAATTAGGAGATCAGGCTTTCCTTGTAGCCAGTAATTCAGTCTACCTGCTCCCAGGCATTCCCTGACTGCAACCAACCAACCATGTCCCCAGCTCAAAAGCTCAAGTGACTAATATCTTCCCAGGCCAGACCCCTCCCACCCCAGGATCTAGGCACAGGTTTCTCAGGCCTCCCACACACAGCAGGGACCAAGGTATCTCCCCCTTACCATTGAATCTATCGATGGCCTCCTGCCTCAGGGCACCAGTGATGCCCCCATCAATACGCTCATATTTGTAGCCTTCGTAGTCTAAGAAATCCTCTAGTAAGTCTAACATTTTGGTCATCTAGAGCAAGGGGAAAGAAGGGAGTCCAGAATGAGGTGGCAGTGGGGTGTGCCCTGTCTGCTCTGACTATCCCTTTACTCTCTCAACCCCAGTCCCTACACTTGTATCCCTGCATTCCCATGCTCCCCTGATTGCTGCTTTTGCCACCTCCAGTACCCACTCATTCCACACTTTTGTCATCATTTCTTGATTTCTCCTAAGGCAGAGCTTCTTCTCTGAGACCCATGAAAAGGTTTCAAAGAAATCTATGAACCCCCTGAGATCTGTACTCAATTATGTAATTGTGCAGCTTTCCAGGAGAATGGACCCATAGCTGTCATCAGATTTCCAAAAGGTCTGTGCTCTCCTCACCTCTCCAATAAGGCTAAGAAATAGTCCCAGTCCCCAGAGACCTTGAAGAAGCAGATGGTTCACCCTCTCCCCCTTCTCTCCATCTGACTCAAAAGAAGCTGAACAACTTCAAAAGAACAGAGATCAGAGGCCAAGAGGAACTTAGCTATATTAGAAACTCTTAAAGGTGTAATCTCCTAACTTTTCAAACTCTGGCAGGCACAGGAACAAATGGGATAAGGGATTAGTTTGATGTTGAGAATGAGCTCCGGGGCTGGGTCACCTGCGAGAAGATGAGCACTCTGTGTCCTTGCTCCTTTAGCTTCCGCAGCATCTTTTGCAGCAGCATGAGCTTCCCAGATGCCTTAATAAGTGCCCCACCCTCATAAGCCCCACTGGGGAGTTTTGGAGACTCCTGAAAAAATGGGAGAAAGGAGGAGAAGAGGGTCAGGAAACATGGCCCTATATTCTGACTGTGCTTAGGAAGCTAGAAGCCCAAATCCAGTCTCCACACCTTTTAAATTCCTGCTTCTCTCAGAAATCCAGTCCCTGGCCTCCCAGCCCAGCTTCAACCCTGTGCTCAACTCCTCCCACTTTTAGAAAGCCAGACATTTATTCATCAATTCCCAGCTTTTCTATCTACCATAGCAGCCACAGGAAAGAGGTATGGATGGTTGCAGCACTTCTTAAGATCCATCATGATGTTAAGCAGAGACACTTGGTTCCCACCACCTCGTGAATTCAAGGCCTCAAAATTTCGAGTCAGGATATACTTGTAGTATTTCCTAAAGACCAGGAAGGGGGTATAGAAGAGACATAATAAAGAAAGTGATCATGATGTTGCACTTGATCACCAACTCCTGGAAAGCTGCCAACAAATCTCCAACCCCTAGTCCAGGTAACCCGCCTTGCATCTCACTTCTGCATGGGACTCAGCTCCACTCGAACAATGAGCTCTGTCTTGGCTGGCATGTTCTTAAAGACATCAGCCTTGAGCCTCCGCAGCATATGTGGCCCCAGCAAATCATGCAGTTTTTTAATCTGGTCTTCTTTGGATATGTCCGCAAACTCCTCCAGGAAGCCCTCCAGGTTGCTATTAGCCAGAAGGAGGTAAGAAAATGAACAGCTGTCAGGTTCTTTGCCCCTGACTCTCAGGCCCTGTTCTGCACTTCAGATGAATCCTCCACCCACTTGTTTTAGCCCGTCTGCCTCTCATTTTTGCAGACTACCCTAAAGAGCTACTTACTTAAACCTCTCCGGGGTGAGGAAGTTTAGCAGATGGAAAAGCTCCTCCAGATTATTTTGCAATGGAGTCCCTGTCAGCAGTAATTTATGATCTATCTTGTAGCCATTGAGGACCCTGAAAAACTAGATAATGGGGCAAGGAAAGACAGGAGAAAGGGCCCATCAGTGGCAAGTGGTTGGCCCACAGTATCAACATTTTCCTGCCCCCAGCTTCCATCTCCTTCAGGATCAGAGGCCCCAAATCCCTAGTCTTCACCCTCTTCCAACCTGAACTTCTCCCCAGAGGTTTCCCAGGCATCTTGCCTCCTGAACTACAGAAAAGTCTCTGAAACTTAGTATTTTAGGAGTCCACAACCTCAAGTTTCTGAGGTCTGAGTATCTCACTCACCTTGGACTGGTTGTTTTTGAGCCGATGGGCCTCATCTACCACAAGGCAGGCCCAGCGGATGGAGCCAAGTGCCGCCTGATCAATGGTGATAAGCTCATACGAAGTCAGGAGAACATGGAACTTCACTTGTGCCTCCCTCTGCCAACACAACATCATCTATTCAGCTGCTACCAGACATCCAAGCACCTAGACCTCCACCCCCATTCTTTACCAAGACACCCTGTCCTGATCTTGATTCCCTAAGGGAGCCAATTATCCTGTCCCCCAACTTTGACTCTCTGAAGGGATTACTGAACATGGCCCCAAACTTTCAATACATGTCCAGTATTGAAAGATCGACATACACCTCTGAGAGTATCTCCTACATTTCCAGTGTATGAAGGTAGAGGCATGAGAGTGGGTAAATGAGAAGGAAAGCTGAGTGAGGAATAAAGGAACTGAAATCCTGGTTGGGGCAAAGAAATGACAGATTCGAAGATTTTAGAGGATTATGAAGCAGAGGGGCTTACCTTCATCTTAAAAGCTTTCTTGCCACCTTTGATGGCATTGTCTTCAAAAGAAAACTCATTCTCACGAATGATGGCCCGGCTGTCCTTATCACCCGTGTAGGTCACCACATAGAATTTGGGTGCCCACATCTGGAACTCCCGCTCCCAGTTAATGATGGTAGAGAGTGGGGCACTCACCAGGAAGGGACCCTTTGTGTGGCCCTGGGAATAGAGGGTGAGGGAAACAATCTAGGTTATAAACTCCAGTTCTCTGCCTGCCACACCCTCCCCCCAATCCTGTGCTCTCCTCCTCCACTCCCACATTCCCCACTCCAGACTGGGTGTCAGCCTGGCTGTCCCCGTCCAAGGCCCTAGAATCCAGCACCTCCTTATAAAGTGAATAGAGGAAGACGATGGTTTGTATGGTCTTGCCCAGCCCCATCTCATCAGCCAGAATGGTGTCAGTGCCCTGGGCCCATGAGAAGCGTAGCCAGTTCAACCCTTCCAGCTGATACATGTGCAGTGTGCCTCCAGTGGCCGTAATAAACCGTGGCTGAGTCTCGTATTTCACTGTAGGCTGTAGAGTCAAGAAGTCAAAAAGCTCAATGGGAACTGTCAGCTGTTCTTGTGGTCTTGATCTCCTCCTCCCCACTCCTCCCTAACATGGATACCGAGTTAGATTACAATTCCCTCTACTATAGCCTGAGCTCATGAGAGTTCTAGTCTTCAGTCCCTCCCTCTCATTCCTTAAAACAACACCCAGCAGCACTGTGAGGGAGGAAACTGGTTGAAGAGCCCTGTGTGCTGTTGTCCGTCGCGGCTCTCTCACTCATGCCAAAATTCTTAGCCGCTCTTGGGACAAGACTGAATACTGAAGGAAAAGCTACTATTGAAAAATACTGTTGAAACTCTCGGACATTCTGTCAGTAACCCCTGAGAAGTATTCAATCACCATGGCTCCAGAAATGGGAGAAACCAAGTGAGAGGACTTACATCGTTAGTAGGAGAATTGGGAGGCCCATCACCCTGCAACTCCTTCTTCTTCTTCTTATACTTGCGGGGTTGGGCGGGATCCTCTCCCATAATTAGTTCTCTGGAGAAAGAGTGGGTCCTGAGTGAGGCCTGGTCCTTAGTACCCCCTCTCTCTTCTGAACCCATTTCAGACCTGTCTCCCCTTCCCATAACCTACATTTTCTCCCATTTCCTTTCTCCTAGGCTTTTTACCCTCACCCTTCGGATTTCACCTCAACAGCTAACCCTCCTTACTCCAGTGCTAATCTTTCCCATTACTCAGGCTAAATTTGGTCCTCACACTGCCTCTTTACCAACCCTAATCTAATTCCAAATAACCTAGCCCAGTCTTCCAATGTCCTAATTCTAGATTGGGTCTGTCCCTCATTCTATGGTGCTGGTTTAGCTTTCATGTCCCTATCCCTGGGCTCCCTCACCGGTGTCTCCAGTAGCTTTGCTTATGGTCTTCATATTCAGGGATGTTCATTTCATCTTCCTCCCATGTAGACTGGTCATAAGGCAAGTCCCTCCATTTTACTAGATAGTGGTAATTCCCCTTTTTATCCACACTGTGGGGCAGGAGGAGAAAAATAATATGGATCATAAGTAGGAAAAAGCCATAAAAAATACAACTATCAGCAAACACGCCTGATTTGTCACCTAATCCTTAATGTTGGCCGCTAGAAGAGTTTAGAAGGGCTGAAATACTACCTTAGCTTTTTCAGGATGGCTTCCTAAAATCAACTATCAAAAAACAGCCCTAGGCTTTAACACCATTTGTTCATCCAATCAGTAGTACTAAGCATCTACTATATGCCAGTGCCTGGCAACTCAGCAGTGAACAAACAAATGCATTCTCATGGAGCTCATATTCTACTGAGGGAGACAGCAATGAAAGAGAAAAATAAATATATACTATAACACTGGGCAGTAATAAGTACCATGAAGAAAGAAATATGAGAACCACTGGTCTGAGTGAATCGTATTTTTCATGTTTTGCTTTCATGCCTGATATCCAGACTCAGGTTTCATTTCTTATGCCATTAGAGATTAAAGGCTGCAATGACAAAAGTGTCAGTGCGGGGCTGGACTTTGTTCCTGGTTTCTCTTATCCACATAGAGGAAACAAGGCCAAAAGGGCTGGAGCTACAGCAGGAGTTATTCAGAGAGATCAATTATTTGGTTAGTTAACAAATTACTAGCATGGAATTACCAGCATGGGGCCATTACTGCAACAAGAAAAGGGGCATAACCCAGGACCAAGGCCTTCCCACGGACCAAGAATTCACCTGTGGTTGATGATGCGGTGAACAGTCATCCACTCTGGCTTAATGCCAAAACGATAGTACTTCTCCTCCATCTCAGCATAGTGTGGATCTTTCACCTTACGCTTGTCGCTCTTTCCGTCATCCTCACCAGAGCCATAGTCCAGGGGTGGGGGTTCATCCATGTCATTCTTCCGTTGGTAGTTTCGGTACATTACCAAGTGGAAGATTTCCAGCTGATGGGGCATAGAGGAAATAGAGAGAAGAGATAATCCCACCATCAAGAGAGAATAAAGGAAATGGGAAGAAGCCACCAGGGGAAGTGGCATGGGAAAGGGAGCTATGAAAGAGGTGGGATGAGGTACATAATAAATTAAAGCAAAAGCAGGAAAATACAATGAAACAGACAGAAGAGAGTCAGGATGTGGGTGGGGATGCAAATAAGCGAAGGGAGGCAGGGAATAGGTTTTTTTAAGATTGAGAATATAGCCCTGGCTGGTGCGGCTCAGCGGATTGAGTACCAGCCTGCGAACCAGAAGGTCACCAGTTCGATTCTCTGCCAGGGCACATGCCTGGGTTGTGGGCCCGGTCCCCATTTAGGGGCAGGCAAGAGACAACCAATCAAAGTTTCTCTCATACACTGATGTTTCTCTTTCTCCCTCCCTTCTCCTCTCTCTGAAAATAAGTAATCTTAAAAAAAAAAAAAAAAGATTGAGAATATACGTAAAACATGGTTAAAGACAGATAAGGAAAGAGATGGAATTAAGGAAAACTATGTCATATCAAAGGGAAAAAAATCTAACGAAGACTGAAAGGACTAGAAACCAAAAGCACCAGATAAGCAAACTAAGGAAGTAGGTACGGTATGAGGACCAGAGGCCTGGTGAGAGAAAGCGAAGTCTGTATATATGAAAGAACAGAGAATAGAGGGATGAGCAACAGAGAGTATGGCAGCACATGGGGTCACAGGACACGGGAAAAAAAGAGGCCCTTGTACCTGAAGCTCCTTGGCCCAGGAGCAATGCCAGTAGGATAGTCCTACCCACTTGACAAAGAACTCTCGCTCTGATCTGCCTTGAAGAGGACGAGGAGGTGGGGCATCTGGATTCCCATCTGCTTGTTGAGGGGCTGGCATTGCCACGGGTGGCTCCCCCCACCGCCAATGCAGGATCTTCTGCACACGGCCTTTCAGCACAGGGCACTATGGGATGGACACACACGAGGAGGAGGAAAGGAAGAGCCATCAGGGGTCCCACCAGGGAATCAAAGGTTAAGTGTGGGGAACAGAGAAAGAGCTAAACATCTGGGACCCAGAGATGGGGAAGGAGTTGGGGCTGACAGTAAACACTGAGAGATGGGTACACTCACTGTGCATCGGGGACACAGCCATTCACCGTTGGGGATGTCAGGCAGGGGTGGGTTCAGACAATGAATGTGGTAGGAGGAGATGCAAGCGTCACAGCACAAGAGCTCCCCACCATCCTTGCACACACGGCAGTACTCCATGTGATCATCTTCTTCCTCCTTCTCCCCTTCTTCCTCTCCCTCCTCTTCATATTCTTCTTCCTCCTCCTTGGCCTCCCACTGTACCCCCTCCTTCTCCTGGGAGGCCAAGGAGAGACACAGAGACAGAAAGCAAACAGGAGTGAGATTGGAAGACAGAGGCAAAAATGGAAAACTGGTGGAAACAGGGCATCTTAGTTTCTAAAAATGTTGATTTGGGGGGCAAAGGGATGGGGAGAGAAACAAACTAGAATCCCAGTCACTTAAATATCTGTTACTGAAAAGCCATCTGGGCATAGGAAGAGGACAATTGAGACCAAGAAGGAAATAGATGGGTGGGTCCCTGAGGGCCGCAAGATGCTGGCACCAGGTACTCACACAGTGGGGGCAGCTCCATTTGCCCTCAGGAGCCCGGTCAAGCTCAGGATCAAGGCAGACGAGGTGGTAGGCACGAGGGCAGGTGTCGCACAGAATAATTTCCCCACCCTGCTGGCACACCTCACAGTAATCCTGGTGATCCGTCTCGTAGCCATCAACCTCCTCCTCCCCGGCCACTGCAGGACAGCCCAGGACTGTCATATACCCCAGTGGAGGCAAAGGAACAGAGAGAAAGAAAGAGGGATTGGGGGAAGAGAGAGAGAAGGGTTGAATAAAGAAGTCAAAATTGAAAATAAGGAAGACAATGAAGGAATGAGAGGAAAGCAAACTGACAGGATCACATACAGCTAACACCCTTACCTTTCTTCTTCTTCCTTCCTGGCCGGCCTCTCTTTAGTTTCTTGGTACGTACAGGGCCATCAGGCCGGCCTGAGGCACTGTGGACACTGCCACTGTCCAGGTCTGACTCCTCGGCCTCTGGTTCGGGGCCCTCGTCGCTCTGAAAAACGTACTACGCATAGCCCCATGGCTGTCAGGGAGGTTAACTTGATTCCATTCCCCTCCCCTGGACTCCAGCACCTGCTCCAGCTTCCCTCATTAATCCCTGTGTCTGAATCCCCAGCTCTTGACCCCTCACCCCAGATGTACTGCAAACAGAGAGGACCCCAGATGTATAGCAAACAGGGAGGAATTACTCACTGAGCCCCCCTTCTTCCTCTTGCCACCCAGAAGCCCTAGTTTGATTTTGAGCGGTGCCATCTTCTTTCCCCGAAGCTTCTTGCGCCCGTCAGGCACTCGGGGACTCTTACTCCGCCTCTTATGGCCTGGACCTGAATGAGGAGTGGAAGTGAGGGAGAAAAAGCAGAGGTCATGACATCCTGGGACAATGGACGTCACAGGGGCCTCAGTACTCCTATCTGTTGGTTATGGTTTCACTGAAACTCCTTCCTGGGAAGCATTTTTCTTGCAACAATCAGGACTGAGAGGTTAAGACTTTTAGAATACAATTTGAGAACATATGGTTCAGAGGGCAGGGTGACAGTTGTTCAATGAAGGGGATTTCTTACCTTTGCCCTCTTTGGTTTTGGCTCTTCGGATGGGTGGGGGCTGGATATCAGCAGCAGGTGGGGGTGGAAGGGCGGGGGATCCAGAAGGTGCTATAGGGGTGGCCGATGAGACAGCAGCTGACACCTGCTCAGCTACAGCTGCGGCGGCTGCAGCCGCCGCCGCCGCCACAGCTGCTGCTGACCCCTTGAAGGGGTTATTGGCACTGAACTCTCTCCACTTGGCCCCAAGGATGGTCATCATCTTAGACATTGGGATCTTAGGGTTCTTCTTAGCAATTAGGGGCCTGTAAATATAGAAGCAGAAGACTCGGACCCTTCACAGATGGTCTGGGAATACTGCTATTTCATCAATTAAGTCTATGCACAGGATAGGATTCCTGAGTGGTGAAAGTATGTCCTATTAAGAGTAACATCAGCACTGACTGGGGTGGCTCAGTAGGTTGGGCATTGTCCCACAGGCCAAAAGATTGCTGGTTCAATTCCCACGCAGGGCCCATGCCTGGGTTGCAGGTCAGGTGCCCAATTGAGGGTGTGTGTGCAAGAGGCAAGTGCTCGATGTTTCTCTCACACATTGGTGCTTCTCTCTTTCTCCCTCCCTTTCCCTCTCTCTAAAAATAAATAAAATCTTTTAAAAAAATCAAATTGAAAATAAAAAGGCTTTGAAAAGAAAAAAAGGTTAAAGAAAAAGTATTCCAAGAAAGAAATAGAAAAAAACAAAAAATTTAAGTGCACAGAATATAAAAAATGACATCAATAAAAACGCTTTGAGTATTACTTTACAGTTCATAAAATACTTTCATACACATTATCTTATTTCATTCTATGAATAATAATACTATGAGTTGCTATCTTCTAACAAGTTCCATGGACCCCAATGAAAGATCCCATCAGGTGGAGCCTGATAGGCCACATTGTTCCCTCTGCAGTGGGGTGATAGGCTCTTCTGGGAACATCGGTGACCATGGTGCTAACAACAGCACTGTCTTTAGCAGTGAGGTAGGTGAGACAATAGTACTAATAACAGCTACCAGGAATTGAATGCTCCCTAGGAGCCAGGCACTGATTTCACTGGGCTTTCCATTCATTATCTCATGAAATCCCCAAAAGACTTGTATGAGATACGTACTGTGATATCCTTATTTTAGAGATGTGAAACCATAGATTAAAGGAGTACCTTGCCCAAGATGATACCAGGACCTGAACCTCAGTAGGCTGACTCCAGAGAGCTGAGTTGCTATGTTCAAGTGCCTGCTCCCTAAAAGGCATCTCTGCTATTTTACACTTTACTTGGGAGCCACTGAAGCTCAGCAATGCATCCTGATGCTAGTAATGCATCCTCCATTACACTGGGGCCGAAGGTAGGGGCTGAGAACTTGATAACTGAGCAAAGAAAATTGAGAATGCTGATGTTATCTCTCAGCTTCAGTCTAGAGAGAAGTCATGTAAGGGAAACTGGAACTCTTGGAGCAAGAAAGGCTATCAGTCTTCACTATGTTTTGTCACTTTTCTTTGCAGAGCATTTTCTAACTTAGTCCTGGCATTATGACACCACCCCCAACCACGAAGCGTCCCTGAATGGGGTCCTTGGAGCCTTAGAAGTCTAGGAATTCACCAAAATTGCGTGTGGAATTGTGTGTGTATGTGCTGTGAATTTCTCTGGATATCAGTTCTTAGCTTTTATCAGATTCCATAGGGGCCAAGGCCTCGCCCAAACAAAAGGTGTTCTCAAGGACTCTCCAGTCCCACCATACCTCATGAACTGGCTAAAGGCTTTGTAGTTGGTAAGTGTGTGGTAATCCTCCTCAGAGAACACATGCTCCACATCCTCCAGGCCCCAGGTCAGAAGCAGCGTTGCTGATGACTTCTGTTCTACCTGCTGGGAAAGACCAGGCTTTGGTAAGGGGGGTGCCTCTCTAGCTCCTACCCGAGGCCCCCCACATGGCTTCTCTACCTACCCACCAGCTTCCCTGGGCTTTAGGGCTTTATGTTCCATTCCCCAGCCCAATCCCCACCCTTCATCTATTACAGCTTCTCTACTTAGCAACCACCCCTCCCCTCGGGGCTCTCCCTTCTCATACCTGTCTTTAATACTGATTTCTCCCCCTTACTCCCTAATCCTACTCACCTTTTGTCCCCCATCTCCCTCTCCCTTTTTCCGCCGCTTTGTCTTTTTCTCCTTTTTTTCCCGGTGCTTCCGTCTCCGCTTCCGACCTGGTCCAGTTCCATATTCACTGCCTCCACTCTCTGATTTCTCTCTGTACTCATCTCGCTCAGAGCCAAATTCCTCTTCACTGTCCTAAAGAAGAGAAATAAAAATAACATTTCTTCAGCCCTACCATGTGCCAGGAACTGTTCTTAGCACATAACACATATTATCTCTTTTAATTTTGACAACAATCCTATGAGACAGTAACTAATCTATTTTTATTCACTTTTTTTTTTTTTGGCAGATGAGGAAACTGAGGCACAGATAGCTAAATAAATTGCCCAAGAAAGCAGAGTATTGCTGAGCTCCAAATTCATGCAATCTACCTCCAAAGCCTGTTCTTTCAACTGCTTCTCTCTGCTGCCAAAGCAAGTCACATAGAAAACTGGGCTCTTCCCTAGGTTGTAGTGAGTGATACATGAGATACAGGCCAGCAAGAGCGGGGAGAGAAAATCAGCCTTCCCTGAATTCAGGATCCTCCCCAACTGGTAATCAGGACCAGAAAACATTTAGGTCCCTGGGAATGGGTCTCCCGAGTGTTACTGCGGAGACAGGAGTCCTCAACACTTACAAGCTTCTTGCGTTTTCGGGGTTTTCCGGGTTTGTTCTCCTTCTGCTTCTTGGGTCCTCGTTTTCTCTTCTTCACACCCAATGCTGAAGGTAGCAGCCGAATGTCATCCTTATCTTTGGAACAAAGAGCACCAGAAAACCTAAGCTTCTAAATTCCCAGTCTATGCCACCCCTTAACCTCACCCTTCCTTACTTCCTCAGTTCCTACTTCCCACTCTCTAGGAACTCCAGCATTAACTCCTCCAAACCTTGACTCCCTTCACTAGATGCACACAGGGAGTCTTTCAAGTACAGTGGAATGCTCTGGTTCTGAATGAGAGGTCAGCGGTCAGAAGGAAAGAGCAGCCAAACCACTCCCTTCTCTCCCCTCCTACTAACAAGGGACCAGGCTCTAGGTCATGGGCTCTGACTGTGGCAGGTCCTTTCAGTCGCCGCCAGGGCTCCTCCTGCCTTCCCAAACCTCACTTAGCCAGCTGGCATCCTGCCCAGGAACTGGGGAAGCCATGCCCAGCTGCTGGCCTGGCCTGACCCCAACACTTGGAGTGGGGAGACACAAGTTGGCAGCTCCCTAAGCCAGATGCTGAGAAGGGAGAGCCAAAGGTGGACACCTGGGTTCTCACACTAACACCGTGGGGCTCTGACATCCTTTTTATGAAGAGGGAAGCCTCTGTATTTCTGCACATGATCATCCAGCCTCCTGTCACCCCAACACAGCCCTGGAGCAAAAGAAATTCTCAGCTGGTCATTTTCACTTCTGGCCCACAGGATCAGTGTCTGGCTCCATCATCACACTCTAACCCAACAGTAGGAAGTCTCCACAATTACCTAATTATCCTCCTCTCAAGCAGCCTGGAATCTGCCTTCAAATCTATTTCTATATCCCTGTGCCCTCTGAGAGCTCTGGGGCCCCATCCTCTGTCCCTTGGCCTCACCCTTGGTTTCCAAATTTAGTTCCAGACACTCTGACCATTCACATATAAACAGTATGGGAGACCCAGACAATGATATAGACACAGGCACATCTTGCATATGTATTCTCAAATGCACAAGCATACCCTCATACTGATGAGCACAAATCGAGGACAGCCTATACCTGCTTGCACTGGGCTAGGTCCCTAACTTTCTCTCCAAATGTCTTTCAGAGATTGGGACTGGTTCTTCCCTGTTCCCATTGCCCCATTTCCATGACTCCTGCCAGTCTGTGGAGACTCAGGAGACAGAGAGTTACTCCATACAGAAGACGACACTGATGACACAGAGACATGGAGCCCTGATTGGCATCCCTCCCACAGCAAGCACTGGACTAACCAGCCAGACCTGTCTAGCTCTGGCAGAGGTGGCTGTGAAGCAGGAGAAAGCCTGGGCTTGGCCCAGCCCCTTGCTCTAGGACACACAATCCTTCCTCCCATCGCAGCCAAGGGAAAATTAGCCACAATTAATGCCTGAGGCCTCAGTTTCCATTGCCTCAGAATCCCTTCAACGCTACTTCTCATAACTGCTGCATCCTGTGTCCTCTCCTGCAGGAAGACACTCTGGGATGCGGGGGGCGGCTGGGTGCCTGCAGAAAGCGAGCCCCTCCCCTCCATGGGGGGGGGGTGCAGAGTGAAAACACTAATAGGAAATAGGAAGTCAGTAAGACGCCATGCCCCAGCAGCCAGCTCTTCCTAACCCCAGCGGCTTAGATTATTATGGACATGGAAACCGGGCTGCCCTGAGAGTGGCAAGAACAGGCCAACTGGCTAAGGATCAGGGAAACCGCCTGGGTCACCACTAGCCGGGGGTGGGGCGCAAGCCCTGAGACCTCGCAGCCAGTTAAATCCACTCCCAACCCCAGCAGGAGGTTTCCGAACTTGGGAAGACGACGGTGGTGAGAAAGGCTAAGTAGAATGGCGAGGAAAGGAAAGGGAGGGCAATAAGGCAAATCTAAATCCCAACCTCTGTCTCACAGCCACTCAAAGCTGGCCTGGAGCCCAGACGCTCCCACAGGCCCAGCTCAGATCTCGGGAAGACGGCGCGGGAGGAGGGCGAGCCAGGAGCGAAAGGCGGAGCCTGGCGGCCAGAGAAAGCAGGAGGAGTCTCGCAACAAGCCTCGCCTCCCGCCCGCCCCTCTTCTTCTAATCTCACCATCAATCTCTCACACATATATTTATTTTTTTCTCAAATTCCCCTCCCTCCCCCACAACGAACCACCATAATAGGCCTGCTGCACATGCGTACTGCATGCAGGGGGTGGGTTTGTATCTTCAGACCTTTTGCAAAGAAACTACCAGAATTTTCCGCACCACCCACAATCATTCCCCACCCCCACCCCCAAGGAATCACATCTATATATTATGTTATATTATTTCTCTAGACTTGCCAGAAGGGGGAGGGAGAAGAAATGAGTTTTAGGCTTCCTGCTCCCTTCCCCCATCAATACGAGTGCTATTATTTTAAACGTTTAACAATGTAAGGAGACTGGAGAGGGGGGAAGGGATAAAATTGGTCTTGGGTAAGAATGTAAAACAAAATGGTGAGAATCAAAGCAGTCAGAATGAAAAACAATAGGGATCTGTAATACGCACAAATTCATATTCTATAAAAGGATGAGGGAGACAGCAGCCTGAGCAAATTTCCTTAGAGAAGGGTTATTTAGCCCACACTTAGGGAGACAAATAATGAACAGACTAAAAATATTTTCCCAAAGTTTTACCTCAGAAAGTCATCTAAGGGGGTGATCTGGGTCACTCATTTGACTTGGAGGGCTGAAAGGGAGATAAAATTGCCCTGGGAGACAGAGGGGATGGGTTTTCACTTCAAATAAAGAATTTTTAAAACATTTGACGTTTCCTCTGGTCTATTCAGAAAGCAAAGAGGGAAGGGGGGGGGGGTATTGACACAAAGACCCTTCTCAACCTCAGATTCCTTCCTGCTCCCCTCTCACATACCTAAATCTGGGATCAAAGACACCCAAATACCACATTCCAAGTTCGAAATGCAAATAGGTGACAGCTGCCAATCCCCTAACATAACCCGACATCCTTTCTTTCCCTCTTTTTAGCCCCTCAGGCTGTTTTCCTGGCACCCTCCCTCCCCACAATTCTTGATTCCTTTCCCCCCTGCAAATCAATGGGCTCACTGGCACAACTTCCTAAAAACTTTTCCCTTTTTCAGAAAAATCTGGTGGTGGTGGAGGGGGCTTTATCCTATTTCCATCAGACACCATCCTCCTGCCCTCCCAATAAAGCACCCTACACTCCCTCAAAGGACGGTTGCCAGATAAGCCACAGAGATCAATATGACAGTTTTGCAAAGAACATGATGTTAGACGTTTTGAAGTTGGGGCATTTGTGCTGCCTGGCACCCAAGAGGCTTGGGGATGTGGATATCCCCTTTCATTACCCAAGCAGAGGGTATGAACACCCTAAAGATGCTCGCCTATCCTAAAGAAGACTAGAAATGACTGCACTAGGAGGGTGGTCTGAGTGAGGCCATTGCTGGGCCCCTGGTGCGAGGCAGCGTTCTGTCGCCTCCACAACTGGAGGAACTGCTCAGAGAGTGCCGGCGACTTGGCATCCCCGGGGAGGAGTGTTGAGTGATGGTCAAGCTGCAGAACAGCTGGGTGGGCAGTTTACACCCCCCAAAGTGGTCAGGGTGTGGGTGGTTTCAGCGAGAGAGTTGACAGTGAATGGCAGCCACGTGAGAGTCACAGCTGGGCAGCTTGGCCACCCCAGACTGACAGGGTCATGGGGGGTGGAGGGGGGAGGCGCACTTGACACAAAAGAGCCCAAAGCAAAGGAGATAAAGGAGGTGGAACTGGGGGCATCTGGTTTCCCCAATTCTAGGTGCCTGCTCTCCCTATGACGAGCTGTGGGGAGCAGGGGTAGGAGCAAGTGATTCCAGGAAGTGGTCTGCGTGGAGTGTGGCCACTACCTGCCCCTGGTCCTCAGCCGCCCACAAACATTCACACGACCCCTCCCCCACTGCACGCCCCTGAGTTGGCGGGCACAGAAGTCCCCGCAGATGGGGGTCCGATGGACACCGCTCCCCCTGCCTTCCCGACTCCAGAGGGGAGATGGTTAGGGCCGCGGTCCGCTCCACATGCAGAGACCCCACTTTACCTCAGTTCAACCCCACCCGGGCCGGCGCCCGAGGGGTGCCCGCGCGGCCGCCCCTCCCCCACGCGCCCCTCCCCCACGCCGCCGTCCGGCCGCCAGGGTCTCCGCGGTCCCTCGTTCGGCCAAGGAGGGGGCCCTGGCTTCGCCTTGGCCGTTTCCTGCCTACCCCCTCCCCGCCGAGGGTAAAAAAAAAAATATCTCCTCCTCCTCCTCCCCCGAAAGCCGCGACCGAGTGGCCCGGTCCGCGCGCGCAGCTCGCGCCCAGCGCTCTCCAGCCGGGGCGACGGCGGCGGCGGCGGCGGCGGCGGCGGAGGAGGGGTGCGGCGGGGGAGGGGAGGAGGCCCGGCCCCGCGGCCGCCGCCGCCGCTGCCCGCCGGGACCGCTCGGACCGCCCGAACCGCCGCGGGCGACGGGCCCGAGACGGCGTTACGCATCCCGGATTCGCCTCGGTTCGGCCGCGCGGTGGGTGCCTCGCCCCCGCCCGGCCTCGCGCGCCGGCGGCTCCCATTCGGGCTGGGGTGGGGGGGTGAGTCGGGGCGGCCGCTTACCTGGAGGTGGGGGCGGCGGCGGCGGCGGGGGCGGCGGCGGCGGCGGGAAGAGGTGGCAGTCGGGGGGGCTGTGGCGGTCGCGGCCCCGGTCGTGGCCTGGCCCGCGCCCGAGTATTCCCTCGTCGTCGTCCTCATAGTCATCGTCGGCCGCCTCCACCTCCTCCTCCTCCTCGTCGCCCTCTTCTTCCTCCTCTTCTTCCTCCTCCGACACCACCATCTCCTCCTCCTCCTCCTCCTCGTCCCTCAGAGGGGAAGCCATCCTGTGGCTCTGGCCCCCCCCCCCACCCCCCCCCCACCCACCGCCCGCCCGCCTCCCCCACCGCTACCACCACCTCCTCCTCCTCCTCCTCCTTCTTCTCGGCGGCGGCGTCCTCCTCCTCCTCCTCTCAACCTCCCCCAGCCCCCCAAACCCCCGGGCCACCCCCCTCCAAAACCCCCACCCTCGGGGCCGCCGTCTGAGGAGGGGGGCCAAACCACCTCCAAAATTTTTCTTGGAAAAAATTGAGGAGAGACTTTTTTTTTTCCCTTCTCTCCTTTCAAGAGAACAAGAAAGGGGGATTAAAAAATATATATATATATAAAAGTTTTCGACTTCTCTCTACCCCCCTCTCCGTTACTTTAAATATATTTAAATTCTGAGGGGGGCGCTCAGAAATATTTCTCAGAGCTGAGGCACTAAGATGGCCGCCTTGAAATTATTTTTAAAACAACCCCCCCTCCAGCACCGCCACCCCCTCCATGAAGAAAGGGAGAGGGGGGAAAATCCCCTTTTAAAACAAAATGGCTGGCTTAATATTTCATTTTTCACCCCCACCCCATTCTCCTCCCTGTTACACCCCCATCTCCAAACCTCTACCCAGAAACCCACAAATTTCTCCCTTTTTTCATAACTGATTAGTGCACAGATTATTAATAGAGATATTTTCCTTGTGTACTGAGTGTGTGTGTGTGTGTGTGTGTGTGCGTGCGCGCGCGCGCGCGCGGGTGGGGGGGCATGAAGGATTTCTGCATAAAACAAAAATGGCTGCTGTGACTAACTCCCCCTTATAAAAAATATTTGAGGGGGGGCATTAATCAGTACTCATGCTCAGTCTGACATCAGCATAAATTGTTAAAGGTTAACTAGTTAGATACTAGTCCAACTACATTTAATTTTTTTCTTTTCTTTACTAGTCTCTTCCTCACCACCTCCCTTCTCTAAAGAAAAGCGCTTTTTTTTTTTCTGAATACTTCAGAAGGGAGTGGTTTGATGTGAAGGGTTTTTTTCCCCTTCAGGCATTGAAAAGGAAAAAGATGAAATATATGTTTATATATAACTCTGTTTCTACATACCTCATTGGAATCAAAACGCATTAATTGTATACGTATCTTTTAAGTGAGAAGTGATACTGAATTTTTTTTCTTTCTTTAAAAAAGTGGTAGAAATCCTAGTGACTTTTGGGGGAAGAGATATGAATAGATACAATGATTGAGTTTTTTCAAAGGAGTCCATGTTTGATTCTCCCCTTTGCCCAGCCTTTTCAGTGATTAATAATTGTTGTGTATTTTATCTTCACTCTTTTCTCCTTTACCTTACCTTTCCCTTCCCCAGTTGTTGAATATAAAATTCATCTGACTTGGAAAGTTAATTTAGGAGTGAATAAAACAGATTTTTAGAATAAAGGGGAAAGAGTCAAGTCTGAAGATTGTGAAATGATTTTCTCTTTTCTCCTATTTCAGTGTATTTCCCTTCCTCCATGATCTCCAGTGTAAAGTGGAAGAAACTGAGGTACCATGAAAGAGAAAAGTAACTGGAACTGAGAAAATGAAAGAGGTAGGGGATTGTACTCACATTTTCATCTGATTCTCACCCTTGATTTCCAATTGTACCCCGTGTTTACCTTCAAAGTGGTACCAGGAATCTCATGGGAGATTGAAAAGGAGTCCAAAAGTAGCTTTCTCCTCCAGAGACTTGATCAGAGAAGTAGTAAAATAAAATTTGCCATTTGTCCAATACTAGCAAAGAAAGGAGGGTGAATAGCTTATCTCAGTTCTACCCTTTTTTGTTCTTCTCACCCTTTTGTTATTCCAGTTCCCTCATGTTCTTTTGATCTCATTTTGCTCTTTTCCTTGCTTCCCATCCTAGATCTGTGGAATCATTTCTTTCCTGGGTTATTTCCCTACTTCTTAAGTATAACTGCCAGCCACCTAGCAAACCTGCAGTGTTCAGGAGCACCTTAAGAGGGTGGGGTAGGTCATCAGCAACCAGAAAGTATTAGTGACAAGGAACACTACGCAGATTTTTGCTTAGGAGGCTACAGTGTTCTTTATTGATGTGCCACCTATCCCCTGCCCCGACACACACACACGCACATGCACACACTTTATTGTGCATCGATTTCCATCTTTTCTTTAACCTGGCCTTTGGAATTCTCTTGCCTGTGCTCCCATATTCCTGTATGAGTCTTAACTTCTCTCCCTCTTCCATTTGATTATATTCTGTCCTCCTCAGTGTCTCTTCCTAATCCATCTGGGTATTCCCTTCTTTTCTGTATATGGGCTTCTTTATTTTTCACTGAGACTTTGTTTTTCGTTCATCCCTTTGACTCTCAGGCTCTTTCACCTCTAAGTAACTGTCCATGTCTTGTCTTCTGTTTACTTCTGTCTTCCAGGGTCTGACTGCATGTGCCTCTTCTTCATGTGTGCCTGACTCCCCCCCCCCCCCCCCACTTTCTGGCCTCTCTGTGTGTGTCTAGGAAGACTGTCCCATGTGCCTGTTGACAACCCTACACATGTGCACCACAGTCTCTCTGCCTCTGTGCCCTCTCCCTCTATGCTGAGTGCCTCTGCCTGCCTGCCACATGTGCCATGAGCTGCAGGTGTAGGTGGCTAAAGGTGGCTGTGTGCACTCCTGTACAAACATTCATCATTCTTGCAAGTGTGCTTTGCATATGGATCTGTTAATTTGCCTGATTCCTCCTCCTGTCCATCTCCTCCTCTGCCTGCCTGCTTCTCCTGTTCCCTTCTCTCCCTACTGACTTCTTGATTTTTCTTCTTCTACCCTTGTTTCCGCCTGTCTCTCTACCTGCTTACTCCTATTATGGTGTCTGTCTGCCTGCCTGCCGGTCTGCTCCTCCCTGACTGGCTGCCAGCCTCTTTCTCTCCCTGGTTGTCTGTCTGCTGCTCTGGCTGTTTGCCCACCACTCTCTCTCCAGCCATCTGTCTCCCCGCCTGCCTGTCTCTATCACTTTTTTAGCCTCGGTTTGTCTACCTTCCAGACCTTGCATGGTTCCCTGTCTTGGTTTTTCTCTTCTCTTACCCTTCTCCTTGTTTCTCCTCTTATTAATGCTAGTTAAGTTCATGATTTCTCCTTGTCGCTTTATGTCTGTCTTCTTGCCTGTCTACCCTACTTGCTTGCTGCTATTCCATGTTTAATGGTTGTATCTCTTTAGTGTTTTTGCTTACCAGTTTTTTCTCCCTTCACTTCCTCTGTCTCAACATCCCATCAACAGTGATGGACTCTCTACCCCAAACTTCTCAGTTAACGCCTTGCCCCAAGGTCTTATCTGCCTTCCTGCCATGTCCCTTACTTTTTCTTCTCTCACTGCTCACCTCCATTTCACTTGTCTCTTTTTCTTTTTGTCTTTCTGTTTCCTCAGTCTGTCTGCCTCAGTCTTTTTGCCATTTTCCCAGTCTTTCATCTTCCTGCCTTTGTGCTGTCTGCCCGGCTGGTTCTGCTGTCCATGTATCAGCCTGATTTTATTTTTCTTACTTTTTAATCAACTTTTAAATAGATAGTACAGACACATGGTACAAAATGTTTTAAGTACTAAAAGTGTCCTGTGAAGAGTAAGCCTCTATTGCTGTTTTTCTCCCCTAGCCCTTAGCTCTTTTCCTCAGAGTTGCTTACTACTTCACATTTCTTGGATATTGTTCCAGAAAAGAATCTACATATTTATGTGTACCTGCTTTTTTGCTGCACTCCTTCCTACTTCTCTCTTTGTACTGCTGAATGCTTCTTCCACTGTTAAGTCTGTCAGTAACTCTTCTACTTCACTGTGTTTACCATCTCTTCTGTCTTTTTGATTGACTGATTGCTCGTCACGTGCTTTTCCTACCAGTACCTGAGAAGCGCTTAGGAAGGGCTTTCTCCTAACCTCCTACTCTGCATAATAAATTGTCTTGATGAGAGGCCACCTCTGCTTGTCTCTTCATCACTGAAGTATGTATTAATTGAGAAAAGCAGTTGTGGTACTGAAAAATATCTTGCAAACATAGGTACAGTTTAGTAAGTACAGATAGTTTGGAAGCTGAGCGTACATGCACATAGAGTAGATACGGGCCTGCTTGGCCTTTCCCACATCTATGTGAATTTTTTAAAGGCATATGAATTTAGATCCTTTTAGGTTCAGCAGCACGCTTTGGTTGTTGACCTATGCCTGTCCAAGAAGTTTGTCTTCCTCCTAGTCTAAAAAACTCTGCTTCTTACTAATACTTGTCTCCTTTTCCATCCCTCCTTTGCCATCTTGGAGGTGTTATAACTTGTTGGGAGAAACAAAGATGTACCCTCTATCTAAGTCTCTCCAGAAGGGTAATGATAATACTTTTATACACAATGCTCTGTTCTTTCGTTTCTGCTTTTTTACTGCCTGTATTCCTGAATTTAATGATTTTAGTCTCCATCTCTGTGTCTCTCCTGACTTTCCCTCTCTCACTTCTCTTTTCTTGGTTTTGTCTTTCCTCTTAACTATGTCTTGGGCTCCATTCTAGCCTCTCCTTCTGATTGGCCACCTTCCTTATCTTCTATCTGATTGGCCTTTAGCCCTCCATCACCCCATCTGTCTGCTGGATTCTCCTTGCCTGCAATAATATATGTCATGGCACTTTATAAATCATAAAGCACGGGGTAATATAAAACATTATCACTTTGTTCTTCTTTCTTTCATTGTTTTATTCCTTTCTCTGCCCCCCCTCTTTTCTGTTTGTATGTTTCTATTCCTCTCGGTGATCTTGCCTGCCTCTCTGTCAGTCAGCTCCTTTCTTTTCTTGCCAACCTGTCTGTTTTTCTGCCATCCTTCTCTATCTTCTTCATTCTTGTGTCTCTGTTTCCAGGTTCCTCTATATTTCTTTTACCTACCTATTCTGTCTGTCCTCAGGCCTTTTATCTATTCCTGTGTGTCTTCCTTTCTCTAGCTGGTTATCTCCCTTCCCTGTCAGTTTCAATGTGGGTACCACTCTGTGTCTTTTGCTTTTTTCCTGTACCTCAAAAAAATTAAATAG